ACTCAGCACATCCCCAGCGCAACGTTGCACTCATGAAACTAAATCTACAGCTAACTAAATTGAACATTGCGTTGGTGCTGTTAACTATACAATTATCGATACTTTTACAAATTTAAGTCTATCCAATATGAACGTAATTTCTTAAGCGATATTTTAAAAGAAGAATATAAGAAATGAGTTAAAAATTAGCTATTGTCTTCTTTTAAAATTTCCTTTAGCAATTAACAATTTAAATTAATAAAGTACAATTTACGTAATAATTTATGTATGTATTTCTTTTAAATAAGTAACGTTCGGAAAGTAATATAAATTAAAAACTTTGTTTGGTTATATAATCAAAGTCAGAAATTTCATATAGAAAGTAATTCAGTTCAGTTCAGCCGGTTTTTTATATCCAAAAACAAGACGATTTAGAAAAAATTCTACAACCGTAGTAAAAATAGATTATTAGTAATTAAATAAACGAAAAAATCACATTACCACAGTTAAAAAAATGACTTAAACTTTCGACGCCATTGATGATGAGATGATGACATTATGTAAAAGAACCTTTAAATCGGATAAGGATATGATAAGGTAATAAATTTATAGATTTAACTCATTCCTTCCAAGGATAATTCGCGAGGCATTCTAATTTCAATAGAGAAGATGGCAGGGTGCTACCATCTGCTTGGGATCCTATAATTAATAAAATGAAATCCCTACCCGGGCATACAACTGCTAGACTTCGAGATAAGCTTATTCTGCGTAGATCGGACCAAAAATTAAACATTTTAAACTGAAGGTAGTCGTTGTTGACATTTGGACGTCAAACGCTCAGTCCCCGCTGTGACTATGAGTGCTGTAAAATATTCGAAACGTAAGGAATTTAAAAGAAGTCAATATACGCAATAAAATCCGTAAAGCTTAGTTTCATTTAAATAATATGTAGTGTTCGCATAAACAAAAGAAATCATTATGTACTTGATGACTCAATGCCACCATTGAACAAATTTGTACCTATATTTCAAAATAATAATCATATTTTTTTAACACTGTGTGTCCGGCTTTCAGATACAATAGTAAGACAATAGCAATGAATTATATGTAATGCACGGGACAGGGAATTTAATAAAACCAAGATTAAAATAAATGCCGCTCGAAGATACGCTTAGAACTTTAGACGTGATACGATCATAAACAAACAGACAAACAGGCAGACAATTCTAAAAAGGATAGAAATGTATTTATTTTCTTATTTTTAGTCTCTAGTCACTTGCAATTTTCAATTTTATGATATACTAGTTGACCCGGCAAACGTTGTTTTGCCATAATATACCTTATTTCTAGGAATTATTTTTTAGTTTTTAAAAATTGCGATTAAGAAACAGGGGTTGATCGTAGAAGGGTGAAAATTTGATGTTTTATGTATTTTTCTATGCTAAATCATAATAAAATAAAAATATATTTGGGGTGGGTAACCCTTATCATTTAGGGGTTTGAAAAATAGACATTGGCCCTGATTCTCAGTCCGATATGCACACAAAATTTCATAGACATCGATTCAGCCGTTCCGGAGTTTGGTAACAAACACCGCGATACGAGAATTTTATTTTTATGATATATATGTATAGATTTCTTAAAGTAGAAATAGTTATATATTGATATATTGTTGGTACAATCTACTTTTTGCATATTCATGTGTTTTATTGTTTACGACTTAATAAATATTTTGTGTAAAATTTACTTTTGCTATCGATATACTTAGGATATCCGCAGTAGAACCAGAGTAACCGACATAGCCCAACGGTTTAGTAAGCTGAAGTGGCAGTGGGCCGGCCATATAGCTCGAAGAACCGACAACCGATGGGGAAGAAAGGTTCTTGAGTGGCAGCCTCGTACCGGTAGGCGAAGTGTAGGGCGACCCCCCACGAGATGGAGTGACGACCTGGTAAGACATGCAGGAAGTCGATGGATGCAGGTGGCTCAGGACCGTGCTTTGTGGCATTCCTTGGGGAAGGCCTATGTTCAGCAGTGGACTTGTGAAGGGCTGTAATGATGATGATGATAGTAACAGTCCACTGCTAGACATGGGCCTATTCCGCGGTAAGCCACCCCATCTATTATTTTTTGCTTTAACCGTCACGTTAACGTGGTATAGAGCCACGGTTGTAGCACGAATGGGTCGTGTTCGACCGGCGTAGGACCATGCTCTCACAGAATACCAGACTAAAATAGGAGCTTAATACTGCTGTATTTCATACTCTGAGTGTAGAGAACTGGTGACCCTTTCTACTGGAAACTAGGCATTCTACAAGTATTTTAGTCCTCATGGTTGACCGAGGATAAATGTAGATGTATATGGACTACAGAATCCATTTACCATCAGGTGGACTGAGTGCTCGTCTGTCAGCCCCATTCTATTAACAAAGTTTGGCTGGCGGATTAGTAGTCGACTCGCACCTTTGATACTACACCCCGTCGATGGTCTGGGCATATTTTTTTCTGGCATATATCTTCACTTCTTTATCAGCCCAAGTAAGTCCAGTAGACTCGTTCCATTATAGAGTGGATTTGTTTTAATTACCAAACTTTGAAAACGGATTAGCGATCGAAGGTCAGACATTTCGCACATTTGCTGTTTCCCATTGGCGAGGTGGGTATTTTTTACCATTGATGTAAATATGATGGTTATATAATCCCATCTATTACAAGCCATTAAATAACTCGGGCATTTCCCACAGTCGTCTGTTACGACACTTACGGGACGAAATGGGGTGATGTATTCTTTTACGCTAGTATATACGTCCCACTACTGGGTACAGTTTTACTATACTCTTTGGTACAGTTCTAGTACTAGCTCTCCTATCATTTCTGAGATGGTTTTTAAAGGGTAAGGAAAAGTCCGCCGGGCTGCCCCAATGCGAACTTCACATGCGTTCGGATTATTTTCTTATTTCTCAGACATGCAGGTTTCCTCGCTATGTTTTCCTTCACCGCGGAGCACGTAGTAAATCACTTAAAATTGCAAATAACAATTTCATTGGTGCCGGCGGGGATCGAACCCGGGTTGCTCGCGTACTGTGAAACTTACAGCGAGCGTTTAGCCCCTGCGCTACCACGGCTTGTCTTGTATATGAGGTAGTAATTCCATCATCTATCGGTTTTATACCCTATAGCTGTAAAACATACTTCCTTGTTTATTTTACAGAAATGTGGTGCGATGTGAAACGCTCAGTCAATTCTTCAATATTTTCTCTTGGATATTTATGATGGCGAAAGAACGACATAGAACTGGTTTAAATTGTTTAATAGCGTGATTTACAAACAGTGTTTTACTACAGTTAACATAATATTTGTATGTATAAAATATGTAATATAAGTTTACTATTTATATTTCAATGCACTCAATCACTACAAAATAATGAATTATGTGTGCGTGTATATGTATGCATGAAATATCACCATATCATAATACAATTAGTGATCCAGAAATGTAAGTAAGTACATAAAAAATAAAACCTAGATAATTATGTATTAATTTAATTATATTTACAAAATATTTACAAATTATTTAATAAGCGGGAAGTAAGTAGTTGTAACAGATATAACATCTTATATTATAGTATTTTTACGTTTTCTAATAATGTATTAAAATGTATTAACATATGACAGCGAATTACCTAATAAATTAAATTGTGAAATACTTTTAAATAACTGTAACTAAAACATTAACACGAGTAAAAATTGTCGGATATCGCATTAATTTTTATATTAAAAACAATGTAAAAATTAGCTCTAAACTAATTCGAAGGAAAAGTTGTAAATAAAAATGAAGTATTTGCTAGCAGAAGGGATTTAAGCTAAGTGCTAGGGTGTTATAAAATTTGAGGTGCAGAAAATTTAAGAAAGACGGCTAATAGTAATCTGTTGATTGCCTGTAAATCAAAATAATAAAATAAAAATTTACTTTTCTTTTTTTAGATTCAATATTTACCACACAGTAATGTCGAGCTGGGTGTGTGGTATAGCATTGACAGAACAGTTTATAACAATTTCAAAAATCCATAGGAGATTATCAAGATTTCACATTAGAAAATTTATTCTGGATATATTAATAAAATAAGAAGTACATCATTAAATTATTCACAAATTACCTAAAGATATGTTAATATTAAGGTAAAATAAAGTTAGCACCTACGAATATCATAATATCTATAACATTACTAACATGGACTTAGTGTTTTTTTTTAATTTCTACACTTATTCGATTGACTTATTTTTACTTCAGTCTCTGACTGATGAATAACATGACAAAATATTTGTTTTGAAGCGTCTAATGTAGTTAAATACTTAAAACATTTACGTAGTTTAGCTACCTAATTTATTTTTTACAATGCCTATACAAAAAAGTCAGAATTAAATATTGACATTACCTATCCTTTGATATAGTTTTAGTTTATGCCTTCCTTATTTCAATGCAAAAGAAATTGTAAAAGAGCAGGAATATTTCTGAACTATAAACGTTCATTACAATAATAAATATGTATGTATGAAAACAAAATACGTGATAGATACATTTGACAGTCAAAAGTTTGAAACTTTTATGATACAAATTCTGTATAAAAATTGTAATTATAATATTAATGAACCAACTCCCAGGAATAGTTGATCGCTACCAAATTGTTTTTAAACTATTTATAAATCGAATTAATTGTTCAACATAAATATTTATATTATTGTATTCTTAGGAATGTGAATATGAAAACGGTAATGTATTTTTTGTATTTTAATATGTAGTATTAATACAATAATTTGGGATTCTTGAGGGTTTTTTCCAAGACAGAGGTCAATTTTGAAAACCAATGATAAATATTCCTTTCAATAAGTGTTATTTATAGTCTACATTGAATAGAAATAATTCTATTTTACTTTACTCTTGTATTAAATCAATTGATACAACAATTACAGGCGATCTATTCTTAACTTTCCACGAAAAATGTCGTTTAGAATTAAAATATTTAGTGTAAGGCAGACAACACATACGTTACGTTAGCAGCGGTAGTAGTAACTGGTGGAACGGTCGGCAAAAGAGGGGTAGGATATATTCGACATGGAGCTCCTGCGGGCGGTCCGAGCATACTCAGAAGCAGATATGAAACCAAGGAGCCGGATAAGAGGCCGCCGTTGTATGATAATGTCATCATATTTCCTGAAAAAAAAAACAACATTTTTTTTATGGGATAAGGGTGACAAACGAGCACACAGTCCACCTGATGGTAAGTGGTTGCTGCGGCCGATAGACATCTACATCTATTCTCGATTACCAGTCAAAATGCAGATACGTTGTCATCCGTGAGGACTAACATGTAATGCCTCGTTTCCAGTAAAAGGGGTCTCTGGTTCTCTACACTCACCATACGAAACACAGCAGTGTTAAGCTGCTATTTTATAATGATATTCTGTGAGAGCGTGGTCCTTCCCCGGTCTATACCTACTACTAATATAGCTGCAGCATGGCTCTACCACGTAGAAATCAATGTGATTATTTAATGGGGTGTAGTAATAATAGCCTTACAGAGTCTAATGCCCCCAACCATAACGTACGCGACGTAAGAACAGATCAAGATAATAAATTATATGTTAAAGTTTTTACAAGAAAGTAAAACCTGCCGAGGAATGATGATAATTTGTTATTAAACAAATGAAGACAGAAATGCCCTCTGTTTGTTCTTATTCATTCCGTGTACACCGAGCTCCGTACTATACTTAGCAAATTAAAATCTAGATCTAGAAATTGTTACAGGGTGTTAGGACTAATTTTTTGTCCAAGAGTCCGTCTTTCCTATCCTATCCCTATCGTCCTTGTCTATTTCTACAGTCAAATAGCAGTGCGGAACCCAGCAGTACAAGCTGGGTTCCGTTCTAAAGCAAGTAGGTAGTTAAAGAGTCAGTATAATTACAGGTCAATAACCATTCCATATTAATGATTTCTTATATTTACGCGAACACTACACATTTAAATAAAACTAATTTTACGGATTTTATCGCGTATATTAACTTATTTTATATTCCCGACGTTTCGGGCACTTTTCAGCACCCATGGTCATGGGGGGGGGGGGACTGAGGTGTATGACGTCCCACTGTCATAGTTAACCACGGCTACCTTCAGATTAAATTTTTTTAAATCCATTCCATCTTAGTTCTCAAAGGTGACAACCCATCTTTCTTTTTTTTGTTTTTATAGGATAGGGTGATAAACAAGCATATAGTCCACCTGATGGTAAGTGGTTGCTGTGACCCATAGACATCTACATGCAGTTGTCACCCCGTGAGGACTGAGGTGGAATGCCTTACTTCCAGTAAAAAAGGTCTCTGGTTCTCTACACTCACCATACGAAACACCGTAATCTGTGTATTCTATGTATTCGCTGTATTATGTGTGAGCGTGGTCCTTCCCCGGTCGAGCCAACGCATTCATGGTACATCTATACTACCAATATAGCTGCAGCATGGCTCTACCACGTATAAAATCATCTGTATAATTCTTTGTTTAAAATTGGTTGCAGGCGTCCATGGACTGCATTAGCCACTTACCCTCAAGTGGACTGAAAGCTCGTTTATCACTTAAGTTTTATAAAAAAAAATTAAGACCTATATAACAATTGATTTTCAATAATTTTAATGCGAATCATACAGCACTAACTTACCAGCTATTTCTCGATGATCACGTCCAACACGCGAAGGTGCCATAATCATGGGTACAGATCCAAAAAGTCCGTTAGTGAATCCAAGAACGACTGAGAACATTATAGGATACATCTGAAATTAAGCATAAAAAGCATGAAAAGTTTGAGGGTTTCGTATTATCTATCCTATATAAATAAATACAATTGAAGTGTCTGTTTGTAATGTTAAACTAACAGCTTTTTACTAAATGCGTATGAAAATATATACGGTATTTATAACAAAAAAGAAATTTAAAAAAATATTGTCTGTCTGTCTGTCTGTCGGTTTATTCCGGAATATACCAAGTATTCCAAACTGGCTGAATCGATTTTGACGGGACTTTCACTGGCAGATGAAGAAAAGATACACAAGATATCCAACTTTAATACATTTCACGCGGACGAAGTCGCGAGGAACAACTAGTATTGAATAAAAATCCTTGATTCTTATTTGAACTGAGGAATTACAATGTAGTAATTTTTAAGTTCTTGTCACTTATGTGGTTTGAAGCACACAGAGCGATGATTTCTCGACTCAATTAAAACCGGAATCATTATTTCTGCATAAGCTGACATGCAATTAAAATTTAGTGGTGAGGGACGAAGCGTCTTGTAGAGGTTTTTTTGCTTGTACCCTCTGCGTGAGTAGTGGCAAAAGCATGAAATCCGCAAATTCAGTAGAGAGCTATTTCAAGTAATTACATCTAGAATTTTCCACTATAAGAAGATTGTTTATTGTTTGTAGATCATTATTTTTGTAGGCAGAGAAACGTCTGTAAAATACTGGCCAGATCAAGAGTAAAGGTTTTTTAACGTGGCAACCGTTGTTGTTTATAGGATTTTTGAGAAAAACATCATCGTGAAGGCGTACCATATATTTGGGACGAATTGCTAACGATCTTTTTTTTTTTTATAGGAGAGGGGGCAAACGAGCATGCGGCTCACCTGATGGTAAGTGACTACCGCCGCCCATGAACAACTGCATCACCAGGGAAGGAATTGCAGATGCGTTGCCGGCCTTTTAAAAAGGAGTACGCTCTTTTCTTGAAGGTCCCTAAGTCGTATCGGTCCGAAAAATCGCGGATGGTAATCGATTCCACAAGGAAGTCGTGCGAGGAAGAAAACATCTTCTAAATCGCACAGTGGTGGACCGCCAATAATCCAGATGGTGTGGATGGTATCGGGAGTTCTGCCGCGATGTGCGTTCGTGAAATTTGGCGGCTGGGATTAATCCGAACAATTCCTCAGAGCACTCCCCATGGTAGATGCGAAAGCGCTGGATGCGGTCAAGTGGAAGGAGCTGACACTTGGGAGCCCCTGCCCAGAGATGAGAACAGTATTCCATGTGAGGCCGAACCTGCGCCTTGTAAAGTTGCAGGCGGTGTGTCGGCATGAAATACTGTCCCGCTCTGCTGAGCACGCCAAGCTTTTTAGAGGCCAATTTGGCCTTCTCTTCCAAGTGACCACGAAACTGCACGTCACTCGATATGTCGACTCCGAGGATACCGATACTGGCTGAGGCAAGAAGGGGAGTGCCTTGAAACTGAGGAGATACGACAAAGGGGTTCTTTTTAGCGGTAAACGCGCAAACTTGTGTCTTCTGAGGATTAAACTGGACTAGATTTAGTCGCCCCCAATCCGAGACTTTGTTCAGCAAAGACTCGACTTCAGACACAAGTTTGTTCCGGTACTCGGCCACGTTTTCCTGAGAAATATTGGCACGGCCGGTGTATAGAGCATCACCAGTGCTGTCATCCGCATACCAATGAATGTTACCAGTTAGCAACATATCATTGATATGCAGAAGAAACAGCGTTGGTGATAGCACACAGCCTTGTGGAACACCAGCGTTAATAGGCTTGTAGTCAGAACATGCACCGTCTACAACAACCTTGATGCTCCGATCTGCAAGGAAGCTAGTGATCCAATTGCACAATTTCTCGGGAAGCCCATAGGAAGGGAGCTTCGAAAGAAGCGCTTTGTGCCAAACCCGCACGTCCTCAACACAATTGGGGGGATTCCGTCAGGCCCACTCGACTTCTGGATGTCCAGGGAGAGAAGTGATTTGCGAACCGAGCGCTGTGAGAACAGCACATCCGGCATGGAGCACTCACACCGCGGGATGGTCGGCTGTGTTTTCCCCCCGTCATCAAGAGTCGAGTTGGACGCAAAAAGGGAGCCTAAAAGGTTGGCTTTGTCTTTTGCGGCTTGGGTCAGTGAGTCGTCCTCCCTGTGCAGAGATGGTAGTGATAGCTTACAGAAATTCCCTTGGACAGCCTTGGCGAGAGACCAGAATGCACGGGTTCCCGAAGGAAGGCGAACTAGTTTCTCGCCAATTCTACTTATGTGCTCTGACTTTGCCTTGGCAATAACTCTTTTGAATCTTTTTTTTGTTGTTTTTGAATTTTGTTGAATTTGATCTGCTTATATTTTCTTGTATTTTATGTTGTAACGCCATATTTGCGCCATTCATCATGAGTCCTCTTTCGCCTATTTTATAAAAAATATGACAGTCGAATAATTTAAATATCTTTTATTTATTTAAACAGTTATAATCTGTCATAAATATAAACTTACATCTCCCACAATGTGTGGCGAATGTCTCGGAGCAGCGCAAAGTAGTAACAATGGCACTAAGAGAAGGCGCAATCCACTCGCCATCAACAACTGGCTACGACTCCATTCATATGGCCAGGCAGCAGCTATCTGTAAAAAATATGATTTCTATATTTTAAATTACTTAAAATTAAAATTACTTGCTTATTGTGAAAACCGATATTATATTAAACAAGTTTTATTAAACGGAAAAAAGCCGTTGGCTAGCACAACTGTAGCGACATAAGAAAATACATTACCCCATTTCGTTCCGTAGGTGTCGTAAAAGGCGGCTGTTGCAGGAAAGATCACTCAGATATTCAGACCGACTACGAGGACTAGGGTCAAAGGTGTGACACGTTTGGTACCGCGATCGCCAATCGACGTGGCGAATGTGGCGATCCACTACCCCATATCATCCCGTTTATGTCGTAAGAGGCGACAGAGGGAAACAATCAGAACATGAGCAGTAGCGTCTTCCTATTAACGACTAAAAATAAAAGCCAACCTGCTTGCCAAGCGTGGCAACTATGCATTCCTCCTATGAGGCAATCTATGGGGCCAGCCTTCAGCAGTGGATTTCAATAGGCTGTAACGGTAAAAGTCAATGTATATTATCAGAAGTTATCAATTAGGTACGCAGCATATTCTAATATACCACCTTTTCGCCCTGCGGTGTTACCTTCTCGCAAGAGATTGTTTTGAAAAATTGCTGATTTTAAATTCATTTATTTTATTTACAGAATACTTTTAGTAAGTATCCTCTCGGGGGTTGAATTTTCCAAAATCCTTTCTTAGTGGACGCCTACGTTTTAAATGTCAGCTACTGTCCAAATTTCAGATTTCTACGTCAAGCTGTTTGGGTTGTGCGTTGATAGATGAGTCAGTCCTCAGGACATCCTCTTTTGTATATAACACAGTCCTAACGCAGCCGTATTGAAACAGAAACAGAAACTTTTTTAGTCAATGTAGATTATAAGTAATACTTATTGAAAGTCACTCTTATGTTTAAATTACCACTGATTCGAAAAGAAAAACCTCTGTCCTGGGTAGAAACAGCAAGAAACCCAGCGGGATTTAAAAGATAAATAACATTTTACAAACATTTATGTTACTCTATGAACAACACAAAACAAATTAGAAATAGCATGGTAGCAATTACCTCATTCCCAGGAATTATTATCATCCATAAATTTCTTAATATTATAATAACCTTTTTTTATACAAACTTAGTTTAATAAAGTTTTTGAACTTTGAGCAGGCCCAAGTTCCTAGTATTTACATTATGATTTACGATGTTAGGTTTTCGGGTCTTAGGTTTTTTTTCGTTACGGAATTTCTTGATTCGGTCGCCGCGCTCAAAGCCCGCGATAAAAGCTATTATTATAAGTATCACTTATTTTTGTAAAAGTACTTTTATTTTTGTGGACGTAATTTTACATTTTCATAAATATATATTAATTTCCTTAAATGTTTGTCAGAGCGACTCTTTAGGTTTTAAATCATAGTTTGATCTTATGGCCCTCTTCTTTAAAACACATATAATTTCAGTGTCAGTCGCGTGTCCCCATAGCATAATACCATACGACATTATGCTATGGAAATAGCTAAAGTAAACAAGTCTAGATGTTTCAACACTGGTAAGATTTCTAATCTTTTTTACAGCATATGCTACAGAACTAAGTCTGCTTGCTAATTTTGATATATGAGGGCTCCATTGAAGCTTCGCGTCTAATGTGATTCCAAGAAAAATGGTGGTATCGACAGGACTTAGTTCCTCCCCATTTAAAATTACATTAAGTATTTAGATATTTGACATTTGGAGTCATGAATTTTATACATTTCGTTTTAGTGCCATTAAAATACAAATTATTAACATTAAACCAATTTACTAATTTAGATATAGCATTATTTATTTCGTCATATTTTAGTAATTGTCGTTTTAAATTGAAAATTAATGAAGCGTCATCAGCAAATAATACTATATTATGGTTATCGCCTACTATGTAAGGTAAGTTATTAATATATACAAGAAGCAACAGAAAGGGGCCGGGACTTTAGCCATGAGGCACGCCCATTTGTACTATCGACCTGGAAAAGATCATACTATTAATGACAACTTTTTGCGTTCTGTTACTTAAATATAAAATAAATAATTTAAGAGCATCACTTCTTACACCAAAGTGTTCAATTTTCCTGATTAATATTTCATGATGAACACAATCGAAGGCTTTGGATAGGTCACAGATTATACCCAAAGCATCCTCTGAATTTTCCCATGCATTGAAAATATATTTTATAAGCTCAACACCAGCATCAATTGTTGAGCGCCCCCTTGTGAAACCAAATTGATTTTTCTGAAGTAAATTATTTACATTAAAAAAATTAACATTTGATCAATAATATTTTTTTTCAAAATTTTACTGAGTGTTGGCAGTACAGAAATTGGTCTAAAGTTGGCTGGGTCTAATGTACTACCAGACTTAAATAAAGGTTACTAAGCTACATTAAATCAGGAAACACACCATATTCGATACGAGTATTGAAAATAATAGCTAATTGAGGTGCGATTGTATCTATTATATATAATTCACTCCTGCTATAAGATTTGGATTTGAATATCTGGGGTCACTGCAGTGCCTCCGCCAATTCGAGCAAAAAAGCGGCAAGGCCGTACCATCCTTTTCTCAAAGCAGTTCAGGCCATTTTCGACCTCCTATAACTTTTTTGTGAATAAAACTAGAAGCCTAAATTTTCAGTAACCAAGCTAACATTGTATAAACACGTTATATTTCAAATTACATTAAATTTGAACCAGTAGTTTAAGAATTATAACTAGTCAGAAGTCGAGTGGGCCTGACGGAATCCCCCCAATTGTGCTGAAGACGTGTGCTCCGGAGTTGGCACCGGTCCTAATGCGTCTTTTCCGGTACTCCTACTCCCAAGGCGTAGTCCCGAATTCATGGAAGACAGTTTTGTCCACCCGATCCCTAAAAAAGGCGACCGCTCAGACCCGTCCAACTATAGGCATATCGCCATCACCTCCTTGTTCTCCAAAATAATGGAATCCATTATTAACTGCCAGCTCATGCGGTACCTTGAGGATCACCAGCTGATTAGTGACCGCCAATACGGTTTTCATCGGGGTCGATCAGCTGGTGATCTTCTGGTCTACCTGACCCATAGATGGGCGGAGGCAGTAGAGTCCAAGGGGGAGGCGTTGGCCGTTAGTCTGGACATTTCGATATACATATTTCGATATACATATTTCGATATTCGACATATCGAGTGACGTGCAGTTTCGTGGTCACTTGGAAGAGAAGGCCAAATTGGTGTCTAAAAAGCTTGGCGTGCTCAGCAGAGCGGGACAGAATTTCATGCCGGCACACCGCCTGCAACTTTACAAGACGCAGGTTCGGCCTCACATGGAAGACTGTTCCCATCTCTGGACAGGGGCTCCCCAGTGCCAGCTCCTTGCACTTGACCGCATCCAGCGCAGAGCGGCTCGAATCGTCGACGACCGAGTCCTTTCCGATCGGTTCGATTCATTGGCACTGCGAAGAGATGTTGCATCCCTTTGCATCCCTTTGCATTTTCTTTCGCATCTACCACGGGGAGTGCTCTGAGGAATTGTTCGGATTAATCCCAGCCGCCAAATTTCACGAGCGCACATCGCGGCAGAACTCCCGATACCATCCACACCATCTGGATGATTGGCGGTTCACCACTGTGCGATTTAGAAGATGTTTTCTTCCTCGCACGACTTCCTTGTGGAATCGATTACCATCAGCGATTTTTCCGGACCGATACGATTTAGGGACCTTCAAGAAAAGAGCCTACTCCTTTTTAAAAGGCCGGCAACGCATCTGCAATTCCCTCCCTGGTGTTTCAGTTGTTCATGGGCGGCGGTAGTCATTTACCATCAGTGTGACGAGCATGCGGTGAGCCGCATGCTCGTTTGCCCCCTCTCCTATAAAAAAAAGTCAATATTTCTTAATTTTGTTACTCACTGACTGATTGATCATCAAAAATCTAAGGCACTTCTAGCAGACGTAAAAGCTTCAAATTTAGAATACAATTAGTGTTTAGTGTATAAATCAAGGAAAAAACTAAAACATTTTGTAATTTCGGTCCAGTTTTCTACTACACTAACTGAATAAATAACTTTGTAATCCTATATAAATATATAGGATTACAATGTTACATTTGCAGTGAATGAATCAATGTACCTTCATTACATATAATATTTGTATAATGTAATGGAATAATAGATGTAGATAGGTACCTAGATATAATTATGTTCAAAGTTAACTTGTAAAATAGTCAAGGTTTTAACAGTGGTAGAGCCACGCGGCAGCTTTTGCTGTCGCACGGATGGGCCGGCTCGAACAGGGTTGGTACCACGACCTCACAGAAAACCAGTGTGAAGTAGAGGTTTACCTCTGCGTTTTGCTTGGTGAGTGCAGGTGGCCGAAGGCCCTTTTTACTGGAAATGAGGCATTCTATCTTAGTCCTGACGGGTGACAACGATGTCTATGGGCCGCAGCAACCACTTACCACCAGGTGGACTGTGTGCTCGTTTGTCACCCTTATCCTATAAAAAAAAGGTAATGAAAAAGCAAGAATGGGACATGTCTTATGAAGTTGTTCCAAAATCCCGCAAAGTTTTAAGTAGACTAAATTGCCCGAAAATCCATAGTTGGTATTCAAGAAGTAGATGGTATAGTAAAGGAAAAAAACAGGATTATCTACAAAAAGAAATACGTAATTAGCTAACCTAACAACATCTTATAGTGACCATATCAATATTAAAAATCTTTTGTTTTAAGAGATGCCACTACCCCTTACAACGATAGCCGTCCCATATTATGCCGTGGGCGTCCTAAGTGGCAATGAAGAGAAATCGAAATAGGAAATAGGCAGCAGCATATTTCTGGTAAGGGTCATTTCATACAGAGACGCGACACGACGATGCTTGAAGAGGCCAGTGGATTCGCACCGCGCAGCGCTCTGCCGCAAGACGCATCGCGACGTCACGAGGGGTATCGTGAAGACGAAGCATCGCTGCGTCTATCGGCGAAGCACCGCTTCACGGAGCATCGCTGCGTCTATCGACGAAGCACCGCTGCGTCGTGATGCGTTGCGCTACGTCGCGAGGCATCTCGAAACGCAGCGCGGTGCCGCGGGGCATTTTCGAATTATCTCAATAAAATTTGTCTTTTTGTGTAGTAAATAAAGTTATATTTTGTATCACTATCTCAATATCAGTCATCTATCTCGCGTCGCGTCACGCCTCGGTGTGAACTAACCATAACTGATAAAAATACTAAAAAGCTGTTGTCAACCTGTTTGCCAAACTATAGAAAATTTCTAACTATAAGGCAATTTTGGGCTGGCCTTTGTTAAACAGTGTGCTTCTGATAGGCTGTAGTGATATTGACAATTTAATATGACTACGTCCTATCAATAATATAGAATAGAGTAAAATAAAGCACACAAACATAGATAGACAGCCTATATACCTACATCCCACTGCTGGGCACAGGCGTCCTCTCATTTCTGAGAGGGTTTTAGGGAAGGAATCCGATCCTTACGATGTTTTCCTTCACCGTCAAACGCGTGGTAAAACAGCTCTTTAATATGCTACTAACAAATTCATTGGTGAATGAATCGCAAAAATATATATTTTGGTTAAATGTTGGTTCCAACCTGCAGTCTCGCCTAGCAACTACGACGCAGTTTGAATTACACTAAACGATGAAAGTGACGTGAACGTCGAATCTTGGACTATCAACTATTCTGTGGTCGAACCAAGTTTAAAAGGTTGTGAATAAGTTCAATATTAAATAAATGAAATGTTAAATTCAACTAAACACTGGCAGAGCTTGTGAGGAATTAGTTTTAATTACTATCATTATTTTTTTATCTTTTTTATTTTATATAATAGGGTGTGTGTGCGGTGTAGATGGGTACGAGCACACAGTCAACCTAATGGTTTGTGGATGCTGTGGCCCATAGTCATCTACCTTTATCCTCAATTGACAATCAAAATGCAGGTGCGTGCGTTTTTTGTATTTTAAAAGATTTCAATATTTCATACCTTTCCTATAAAATCGAAGAAATTGAATGCAGACATGAGGATAATAGGCATCCAAGAACCGAGACGGCATGATGGTACTTCAGAAGCTATGCCAGGGTAGAGACTCAGCGTTGTGAAATAAACCAATCCAATTGAGACCATGTAAGGATAAATAGCGCGCGCAACTGCCCATCTAGCTAAGACGCCACCTAGAAGATGAAAAAGAAAACCAATCACAATTTAAGTATTAATGATATAATGAAATTTTGTTATTGCCGGAGTAACTCAGAGCAAATACACTTGCCATAAAAATTCATAGTACGTACGTGTACGAGTCTAACCCCAGTAGGCAGCAATTTTTTAGTGCCGATTGTCCACTTGTTTGGCTCTGAAGGAAAATCGTGAGGAGCGCTGTATACTAATAAATAGGAATATTTCGAGAAAATATGAAACCGTCAAAACTCATTGAGGCAGGTCGATGGATTCTTTCTACCCTAGAATCCTTTGATTGATTAGATTTCATTCCGTTTAGGACATTTCTTCTATTTTCTTCACATACATTTCTTACATGATAATTCGTCACTTAAAACTGCAATTAATAATTTCATTAGCGCTGAGATCGAACCCGGTTTTCTAGCGTTCATTTATCGTGAATTTTATAGCGTGCGCTTAGCCCCTATGCAACCACGTGCTTGGCGTTGAAGGAAAAATCGTGAGAAAACCTGTATGTCAAAGAAATAAAAAAATAAAATAAAAATGAGACGAGGCATGTATCCAGCAGTGGGACGTATATTATAGGCTCTCCATAGCTCGCTGAGCGTCCTTTAACTGCCTCTTATGGCCAGCAGCGAAAGACCACGCATCTCAAATCCATACGTCGTCACTAGCAACATGTAATATTTCTTTATTTTTATTTTCACAAACTCGCACAAATCCATTTAGATCTATTCAAACCGATTGCATGCATATATTAAAGATAAAATATTTTAATTATAATATTTATTTTTATTATAATTTTCATTACGTTTAAAGCTCCTCCACGACGTTGGTCTTTCAGGTGACTCAAAGACCACATCCTCCACTTTGTAAGAAGGTCGAGGGGTCCGCAGTACTGCGGATGGCGACGCAGAAGGCTCCGATACGCTGGGCGGAGGTGACGCCAGAGGAGCGGATGTCACAGGTATAGTTGCCGTCGGAGAGTATACAGGGTTCGCAAAACTGAACGCATTTTCACCTTCAGCTTAAATATATGAAGATAATAGGCAATTAATTTTCAGTCACACATGTATTTTTCGTAAAAAGCTTATATAAAAGTAACAAAATAAGCAAAAGTAAATAACCACTTCTCTAGAAATATCATTATACGAGTATCATATTGTAGCACTTTTTTTACTTTTTTATTTCATTTCACCTCGTTATTTTAAAATACACATTTTTAATTTTTTTTAGAATAAGTGTGACAAACGAGCACACAGTCCACCTGATGGTAAGTAGATGCTATGGCCCATAGACATTTACATTTTATCTTTGATTAAGAATCAAAATGAAGATGCGTTGTCAGCCGTGAGGACTACGATGGAATGCCTCGTTTCCAGTTAAAAGATTCTCCGGTTCTCTACACTCACCAAAGGAAACACAGCAGCAATAAGTTGTTATTTTACTTCCCCGGTTGAGCCGACCTATTCGTGCTACAATTATACTACAAATATAGCTGCAGCATGGCTCAACCACGTAAACGTGCTTGATTAAAAACTTACAACTCGTTCAGTTGACCATATTTTTCTTCTAGAGATCTCATGTATTTAAAAAAAAATTATAGTACCTATATTTTTATAATATAGATATTATTTTATAATTATTTTATTATAGTAAAGATATTTTTGTCTTGTACTCGTAATTGAATAACCGTTATCGTTACTAATTGATGGTTTCAATTTTTTAACCCCCGACAAAAATATAAGTTTGTAGTGTGTATATGTGTATCAGTGTATATGTGTAGCAGCGTATCTTCGTATCTGTCTGTGGCTTCATCGATTTTGATTAAGTTTTCTTCGTTGGAAATGTGTCTTAATCGTTCTTAGCTATGCTTAAAGAAAATATGTTTAGCTCTTTGAAGATAATCTACTTTATTGTTTTTATATGGTATTAACATTTTTAATTTAAGGTATGTTAGGAAAAAATAAATTCTAATATGTTAACAGCATTGTAATCACTAGAGTCACTGGTCCAAGGGTAAATAAAACGACCCGTGGACCCGTTAATGGGTGGACTCACCGGGACCACGAGTAAATGTTGTCGAGCGGAGGTAGGGAATGGTTTAATACACATGACACATATTTTATCTTATCTGTAGTTCATTGAAAATACCTGTTCCAGTGTTCGATAATGCTGGGCTTTGTAATTTTAATACCCCAAAAGCAGCATCTCCTGCTTCGTTTTCCATCTGGAACAATAATCATTATTGAGAAGATTAAGTGTTATTTAGAAGAAAGAGCCTTGAGTGCCTGCCTGGTACCGGTAATGATCTGGTAAAACAAACAGGAAGTCTGTGAATGCAGTACAGTTTGTGCGACTATCATTGCACCCTTAGGGGATGCTGATGCTGTGCAGTGAACTTGTGAAACACTAAACTTGTGATGACGATGATTTCAAATCGATGGAGGTCAAACATGACATCTCATTTTTGTAATGAATATCGGAAATAACAAAGTATATTGTTGCCATCTCCTGACCAGTCACTAAGCATTTGAAAGTGCGGAACAACAGATACTATGTAGTAAGTTTAGCGATCGCCAATTGGCCTGTCAAGCGTAGCAATTACGGCTAGTAAGCACTACGGGCGAGATCCATGTTAAGGGCAGGTGTTCCAAGCGCAATAGTTATTTACGTGTGGACACCGCCGAAAAATAAATATAGGGGCGATTCTCTGTAAACCCGTAATGGCCCATACAAACTCTGTCCTGGCATATTTTTTAGCATTTTCGTAAAAAATATAATAGTATTTCTTAGGAAAGTAACTGTTCCTTTTTGTATATAAGAGGGCCAATTGAATTCATATGTATTTTTAAAGTTATTTTAGATTTTCTGATAAATCGCGACAGGGGATTGTCAGGTGGAACAGGGGACTGTTTTGTACATGATAGTTCGATGAGACAGAGGACTGTTTTATATAGAAGTTAGTCTTTAATTGTTAATATCAATCATTTATTATTTTATACCACATTTACGTATCAACATAAAACAATTATATTTCAAAAGGTTTAAGAAAAAACATAACCAAAAACAGCTCCTCTAACAAAATCAAAACTTTCATGTCAAAACTATGGTTCTAGAAACAATTTGTATTTGAGATCAACTTAGATGAATTACTAACATCAATTATTAAATTCTGTATGCATTCGTTTATAAAGTTCTATTATTAAATTATGACACAATAGTCTTTTCTCTCAACAATAATAGTATACTCTTATAAGCAGTTATAATGAAAGTAATTTGAAATAAGATCTACAATAAAGTCTTAAGGCTTTTTCTTAAAACTAATAAGGCACATACATAATCACAATGAGCTTAGTTTAACATTAGAAAAATTGATATTAGCGCTCGAAAACATCTACTTGAGTAGAGAACTTATAAAATATTCTCTTCCCTTTTAGAATGAAGTTAGCATTATTCAACTTTTGGATAACTTGATCAAACGACACGTCTGAAATGTTCCTATCATTTATTTTAAAGGTCTGCATCTTCTTGTGACAAATCTTTAGAAAAGTAACCCGTAAATCATTTTCGTCTTCATCAGTTTCATTAACTACAGCGGCATAACGATATTCCACATTTTTAGCTGAAAATTTCACAAGAACGTAGTCTCCAGTATTGTAACATGAATTTTGAGTGCCACTGGGTCCGACTGTTTGATCATCAAACTTTTTAGGAAGCGTGTTTTGTGTTGATGTTTCAGCTGGTTCTAAGTTTTGTTCCGATTCCGAATCTGTAAACACTACTTCTGCTGTCAATCTAGATTTTAGTTCAAAGTTGATACTACCTATCTTATTATGCTCACAAGATTCGCTGTTGCAAAAGCAGCTGAGACTTTTCATTGTTAAGGTTTTACATTTTTTCGACAGGCTGAGGATTAAGCTAGAATAAAGACCTGCTTGACTTGATGCACATTTAGGGTGCCTTTAAATGACTTCTGACCGGATGCTTCCTTTTCAATTTTATCTATCTTTGCCTGGATGTTATTACCGTCAATTGGGATACATGTGATGCCAAGGCGTCGCTCTTGGATTGATTTGACAAACTGATCGATATTGTTGATATCAACCCCAGAATTAACAACAAAATCAGCTGTTCTTTTGCACGTTGCCCCAACGCCGTCTGGTGCGCCTTTACCGTATCCACTTTCTCTGTAGTTCTCCGAGACTGTGCAAAAAGATCGGATTGAATCCCGTAGGTAAACTACGACTGTGTGCAGACTAAAATCCATATGAAGCAGGACATCTCCGTCTTGTAGATTTAGCTTTAAATCGTTCATGGCGTTATATTAGTGTACAATCTTAATTTGATGTTCAAAAAGTTTTATAGAATCTTCCTGCAAATGTGTTATGAGCTGTTCAAATGTCTGTTTCAGATATTTTGTTACTATTCGAAAGATTTTAGTCTTGAAATCTTGGATGTTTTGCCTCACATCTTTACTTTCTTGTTCACTCATCATTACTTTACTGTTGTCAAAATCTTTATATTCGGGATTTTTATTACTGCAAGTAGAACAGATTTTAGATAAACAGTATTCATTGTACCGATTGCAACACAAGTCATCAAGAAGCTTTTGGCTTCATATAAAGCGCAAAGTTTCAGGTCTAAGTTGCTGTGCGTTATACATAAACATGTGTCGCGATTTTGAGCGTTTGGTTTGACTACCCAGAACGGGCGCAGTCGGCAGAATGTCTGATAACTTATTTTCAAATTCTCAGCCACAAAATTTTTACATAGATTAAGGACTGTATCAAGAAGGTATCTTTTTTGTGTGTTCACCTTCTTCCTAGTAATAAATTGCTTTTTACCAGCTGCCATGTGACTGGTACTATCATCTTCAAAGAAATTCTGAATTGCTCCTATATAACTATTAGGTAATTTAATCCGGTGATTTACAGATACATCCTAGCCATTGGGATTAATTTTTTTTTGTTACAGACACAAATGACGCGCGGAAACTAAACAAAATAGCAGACCGATGCCGTTCTCAACAACGTTACTAACTTCACATTGGTTGCATTTCATTTCACGGAAATAAAAGTTTGTAGACGCAACAGATTTTTTCTATTTTTGCTTTAAATTTTTGAGAGGGGACTGTTTAAGAAAACTTAGAACAACTTTAATATGACATTATTACATTTAAAAAACAAGAAGCTAAACCTTGTTTTATGACATAAATATAAATTAATTATTCTACTTTAAGATACAAACTGCAAAATATATTTAATGTTCATAGTTTTTTTTTTAAATTATCTCTAAGTAGGAATCCGTGAAATGGGACAGCCAGGGGACTGTGTTTTTATTTAGGGCTTCATAATTTTTTTGAAAAAAAAAAAAAAGAAAATTGTTATCGCTGTAAATACAATAGCACTATAAAGATCAGCGTTTAATGTTAACTAAGACAAATACCTAGTTATATTTCTATGCTTTGTTATTTTTGTTTAAAATTGTTCCGGGCAGCCGTTTAAGAGTTTACGGAGAATCGCTCATAGGTATTATGCCATATTTATTTCGCGATTCGAGTAAAAATTTGGCACAGTTCTTAGCTTGGTAACGTCCCGCAGGACACTGGCAATAGCAAGGTGGCAAGCGACGCTCGCTTCGAATATTACTTGAAAAATCGATAACTTTTTTAATATAATGAAAAAAAAAAACGATCTGATAGTATCGATTCTAAAATGAATCACCTATAAATAGATAATATTTATGGAAAGAAAAGAGTATCAGTACTTGCTTAAAATGAAATTTGGCTTGTAAAAAATCTACAAAACAAACGTAGTTCGGTATTTTTTGGAACGAAGTTCCTTATCGGACGGTACGTGTTCGGCGGATGAGAGCTAGGCGACAAAAAGTATAAAATTTTTTCGTCACTACCCCTTTTGTCATAGTGTATTTTATTTTAAATGACGCTTCATTTTAATAGACGCTAATAATTGATTTAATTATATTTGTTAATCAATAATATAATACGTTTATCAATAATAATATACTATGAAAGGAACTTCGTTCCAACCGCGTGTTCCACGACTCTCACGCTGGTTTTTATTCCTATCGGGAAAATTGTATTGTATCGTCTATTGACCATGTACATCGTAAGGAGAAAGAATGTATCTAAAATATTTATATAAGTGTAATAATTTGCCTATCAAAAACCAATTTTAAAACAGACAAAAACAGCAATACCCACCCTTAATATGGACTATTTAAGGGCTGTTAAAAGGTCATGTTATGCATATTATGTGTTGAGAATTATGTTGTCACTTCTTCAATTGCCAACGTATACGCTGTTGAAAGTTTGTTCATAAACTCTTATTAATGAAGGCAGTTCGAAGGCAGAAGGCAGGATGAGGTTACTCTCGTTGGTATAGCGCTCGTAATGCGTTATTGGATTTTTCTGTCAATAAATTCTCAGCAAGTAAAGCCGTTTGTCCTGCGCTTGATCTATCTTCGGTCGAGTTAGAATACCGTCCCATTGGACTGTGAGAGTGAGGGAATAGAGAGTGTACCTATGCATACGCAAACACTCGTACAGTATAACCCTGTTCTACACAGATGGTAAGTCTCCGTTGAAAAACGAAGACTGGTCGCCTTGACCGAAATTCGATCTGGAGGACATTGTTATTAATGAAGAGTTAGGCGGAGTTTTATTACTTGTCATGTATAAAAGATTCTTCACGAATATATTAATTCTTCTAGTTTTTGGTTGTTTTTCCCTTTCTTTACCGCCATTTATACAGATGTTCGAATAGTGATATTAAAAGTAAATAATCGTACATTGCCAACACGAATGCCATTTATGCCATGCACACGTATGTTAAAATAAAATAAGCTTACCAATATTGTGTCTTCGTTAGGATTCAAATGCAGTTGAATGCGTCTCTTATGCCGTGATTCATTGGTCAACCTAAGATAATATTGCACGAGCGGGTGACGCATCATCACGTGATGCAGCATCGAGTGTCCCAGCAAAATAAGTATGGAGAATACGAAAAACATAAAGGTGCTTCGTCGCGGTTGTCTAAAGCCATACTTGGTAACAATTCGGTCCAACGATACCCAGAATCCTGCGGCGCCTGTAAAATTATTAATAGCAAGTATACATTAGAGTTACTACTATGGTTCAAATATCTTATATTACTCGTAGTATTTATCTAACTTCGAATGAAAGCACTAGAATATTAAAAAAAAATCTTTATGATTTGGCGCGTTGGGCTTATTAGGCTTGCTGCCTTAAATATCATCATCATCATTCATCATTACAGCCCTTCACAAGTCCACTGCTGAACATAGGCCTCCCCCAAGGAATGCCACAAAGCACGGTCTCAAGCCACCTGCATCCATTGACTTCCTGCATGTCTTACCAAGTTGTCACTACATCTAGCGGGGGGACGCCCTATACTTCGCCTGCCGGGACGAGGCTGCCACTCGAGAACCTCTCTTCCCCATCGGTTGTCGGTTCTTTGAGCTATATGGCCGGCCCATTGCCACTTCAGCACACTAATTCTTTGGGCTATGTCGATTACTCTGGTTCTACTGCGGATATCCTGGTTTTTAAGTCTATCACGCAGAGAAACGCTAGCTCGCTGAGCGACTTTGAGCTTCCTCATACGGCCAGCAGTGAAGGACTACGTCTCAGATCCATAAGTCATCACTGGCAACACGCACTGGTTGAACAATCTAGTATTGAGGTTTTGAGGTATGTCTAAGGAGAAGATGTGTCTGTAATCTCCCGAACGCTGCCCAGCCGAGTCGAATCCGTCGATGAACTTTTCGGTCGAAGTTGGACTTACCTAGTCGGACTATTTGTCCCAGGTAAACATATTCGTCAACAACTTCGAGCTTAGTGCTCCCAGCAACTACCGGCATAGGTGTGACATGGACGTTAAACATGATTTTTGTTTTGTCCTCGTTAGGTCCTCCAGCGATTCTGCCATAAGGACTATATCATTCGCAAATCAAAGATGAGTAATGTACTCGCCATTGATATTAATACCATATACTTTCCAGTCCAGTAGCTTGATACGTCTTCCAATGCAGCGGTGAAGAGTCGGGGAGTTCGGGGATATTACGTCACACTGTCTTACAACTCTCTGCAGTTGGATAGGTTTCGTACTCTGGTTCTGTACTCGGACAGCCATCGTAGCCCTACTGTACAAACACTTCAGCACTTCGATATACCAACAGTCCACTTGAGGGTTTACAGCACCGCCCAAATTTCGACGGAATCAAAGGCTTTCTCATAGTCCACATACGCAAGACAAAGTGGCAGATTGTACTCTTCGGTCTTCTGTACAATTTGCCAAAGGGTATACATACCGTATGTGGTCTATGGTGCTAAAGCCTTTTCGGAAAGCGGCTTGTTGCTAGATGAAGATATCGCTTAACATACATAAATATTGAATTAAATACACGGTCGAATTGAGTACCTCGTCCTTTTTTGAAGTAAGCTATTTAAATAATAGATAGGGAACAGTTATGAAAGGCTAGATGAACGCGAGGGTTGGCCTGCTGCCTTGGGCCTTGACCACACACAATGGCCGTACCACTCAGTGAAAGCGATTTCTTTTGAAGTGACATATCCAGCTAACAGCCCGCTTGACATGCTAAGTGACTACTAATTTGGACTAAAAAGGAGTTGAACTAGGGCTAAAGGATACCCACAAAAGAACATATGTACATTTAACATACAAAAATCATTAATCATCTCAATAAATGTTGAGAGACAGAGAGGACTGGTGCATGGAATGGTGTAAGATCGGGCTTGGCTTTTTAATGAAAAAGTAATATCAATTATTATTAAAAAAAAACATTAAAATTAAATTCAAAATGAGAATCATAAAGATGTGTTGTTTTTAAAAGTTGTTATTTGTAGTGTAATCAAGTTTTATATGTTATTTATAGAGTGGTTTTGTTTTACTCACTCTCTCCAGCCATCACAGCTTGCGTGTATCTTGGTGGTAGACATCCAGTGAAGCCGTAATATGAGGCTTGTTGAACAGTACACCCAAAGGCAACGACCCCAATTGCAACTAAATTAATAGTATATGACACATTTGTCGAAAATCCGTCCCAGCCGATGTTGCATATGGCCACAAATAACATTGTGGCGAGCGATAACAATATTCCTGGAACGAAAAAGTTTTGTAACAAATCATCACAGCTATAAATCAAACACTATATAAAATGTTATTGTTTTTTTTTTTTATAGAATGTGGGTGACAAACGAGCACACAGTCCACCTGATGGTAAGTCCACTAGATATCTACATCTTTCCTTATTAAGAATCAAAATGCCCTGTCACCCCTGAAGACTAAGGTGAATGCCTTATTTCCAGTAAAACGGGTCTCCGGTTCTTTTTTTTTATAGGATAGGGTGACAAACGAGCACACAGTCCACCTGATGGTAAGTGGTTACTGTGACCCATAGACATCTACATCTATCCTCAATAAAGACTCAAGATGCAGATGCGTTGTCACCCGTGAGGACTAAGATGGAATGCCTCGTTTCCGGTAAAAAGGGTCTCCGGATCTCTACATACGAAACAGCAGCGTTAAGCTGTTATTTTACGCTGGCTTTCTGTGAGAGCGTGGTCCTTCCCCGGTCGAGCCGACCCATTCGTGCTACAGCTATACTACTAATATAGCTGCAGCATGGCTCTACCACGTAAACTCTACACTCAATATAATATCCAAAACAACAGCATTAAGCTGCTATTTTACGCTTCTATTCTGTGAGAGCGTGGTGCTTCCCAGGTCGAGCCGACTCATTCGTGCTACAATAACAATATAACAGCAGAATGTCTCTGCCACTTATAAACACAAAGACATCTTTCAAAGAGTGTCACAAACACAGTCTCGAGTTATTTTTATCCATTGCCTTTCTAAAAGACCTGTCTTCATTCCTACTAGAAAGCGGCCGCCCATCAACTGTGGCGGCTCTGTTACCTCGCCACAATAACGTAAACGAATCGCTCTACAACCGCAACATAGATCACGTTATCGAAGTTTCCAAACGACTCTCCTTTTATGTACATATTTAATAAACTAATATTATCTTCTGCAATCATCAGCTTGTTTGTTGCAAGTAAGTTCATTTTGTCTTTACTCAACACACCGCAGATTTAAAAGGCAAAATTCTGGCAACTGTTCTGGTACATCATACATCACATGCAAGTGCGATATGGCATGTATTACACTAGTATTACGAATGCACCGGTGATATTTGGGGTCACACAGGCATATCATTCACATCGGCGTAACATGCCCTCGCGCACACAGCAGGCAAACCCGCCGATATTAACAACGTAAATGAAGCTTAGAATGTGACATAGATATCTAATTATTGTCGGCTTGGTTAGATAGATGTGCACTTAGTTCTTTTGCTATCATGTATTACCATGTAGTAGGTTTACATGAACTGTAAGATAAAATTTGATAGGATAGTTTGTGACATCGTCTGATATAAAATAATAGGGGTTAATGTATGAAGTTCCCAGTTTAATGGAGTAGCCACTTACCTGCATGGTACACGATCTGTGGTTAAAACTTTTTTACGCAAAAACTATAACATTCTAAATACAAAAATATTATAAAAATTGTTTGACTTTGTTTTTACATACATTATTTGGGTTAAACATGTAGACCTCAAAAATTTTACCAATTCACGAATACCACTTCCCACGAGGTTCTAACGTAGTAGAGACAGTTCGTAATTTCAATGCTGTGTTTGGCGAGGACATGTCTATAACGAACGCACCATGCGTTTTTGGTTTAAACGCTTTAATAGTGTAAACTTTTACTTAAAGAATAAACCATGAGGAAAACCAGACTCACTTTAATATAGAATAGCGATGAATTAAAAGTAATAATAGATAGAGGCCCACCCTTATCAAACAACTAAGGAAATAGCGACATGATTTGACGTTAGTTTACCCGAGATACTGACTAATTTGTACCTATTTAGTAAAATAAAAAAAAAACTCTGGAAATGGGTGTCTCGTGAATTAACTGAGGTTTATAGGAAAATTAAGGGGTGTTAGACAGAATTGTGTTGAGTAATTAAAAATGGATTCGCTATGTCAATTACAAGTGAAAAACGCAGTAGATCCAAATCCAGGATAAATAGTTTCGCTTAATAAAAATGTTCCGCCATGGCTATTAAGCGAAGCCTACCCATAGAAGTAGTGGTAAATGTTAGGTGATCGTTCATGGTGTACATCACTTTAACTTTTTGAGATATGGTGTATTAAAAGCAGCAGATACTTATTATGTTTGTTCTTACAATTATACCGAAATTCACAGAGAAACAATGGAAAGAAGGAACCATTATTACTCCATGATAACGCAAGACCTCTTACTGCTCGACAAACCGTTTAAACAATACAAGCTCTGCAGTAAGAAACCGTACACCATCTTTCTTATTCGTCAAAACTACCTCCAATCGATTACAGTGTTTCAGCAATTTGGACAATTTTGATGACAATAAATGTTTCATCTTAAGCAGCGGTACTAAATGGCTCCATAGACTATAGAGTCCAGATCCCGAGAGTTTTATCGCAAAGACATAAATAATCTTCCCTCGAAATGGCAGAAAAGTGTAGATGATGAGAGTATATAAATATATTTTTTCCTAGTATTAAAAACGATTTTGAAATTATTATATACTTCAATTTTATACTTCACCACCCGATGGAAGAACGAAAATAATAATCGGGTAAAAAATCTCAAGATGTACGAGTAATGATTAAACATAAAAATATGTATTCATTACAGCCTTTCATAAGTCCACTGCTGAACATAGGCCTCCCCCAAGGAATGCCACTCATTGGGGGGTATTTGCCATAGTTGCCACGCTTGGCGAGCGGGTTGGCAACCGCAGTTTTTTTATTATAATTTTGGCTATTATCAGGAAGATGCTGCTGCCCATCTCCTGCCTGTTTCCCTTTGTCGCCTTTTACGACACCCACGGGAAGATATGGGGTAGTGGATATTCTTGACCGCCACTACACGGCAAAATGTGTATTAATAAGTAGTAATTCGTTGGTTCTTTCTTTTACTTTATTTTTAGATGTTTAGCAATTCTGTTTCCATCTTATTTACATGTTGCTATGACAACAAATTCTCGACATTTATATTATCAGTCGAACTTCCAATTAAGATTCGAACTTTGTGAGGTCTTTATGTAAATCACATTTTTGTGGAATTTTTTATGACACAAAATTGTTATTTATTTTACACGTGGTCGTCACTTGACACTTACACTCTCATTTATAGTATTAAGTTTCGAACTAAATCAGATTTTTTGTAGTATTTTTATGGCGAATAAAGAGCACGAAATATTAAAACTGTAACCTATTTAATATTTGTAGAATAAAATAATAATTTAATTAATTCAACGTTTCATTAATAAAATTGCAGAGTCATTGAATAGTATTTATATTTTGTTGTAAAATAATGTTTACACTTAAACTTTTTGATTCCAGATTCTATATGGAACTGTCAAGTTACGAAAAATAACTGTTTTTGTCTGAATTAGTTCATACCGGTGTTGATAAAGAACAAGGTATTTAATAGTGGCATAAACCTGCTGTGCCAAGGCAGGAAGCGTTCTTTGCGTCTGACCCAGGGGTGACAACGTGTCTGCATTTTGATTCTTCCTCTATGATAAACCATACCAACCTATGGTACCATCGCATGGACTGTACGCTAGTCTGTTAATTTTCTTCTTCTTCATAATCAGCCGATAAAAGTCCACTGCTGTACATGAGTCTCTGCCGATGTGAGTCATCTCCCTATTTACCTTAATCGTCAAGCTTAACAGGCGGACTATAGATCACAATTGACGCTGCTGCCCGTCGCCGGTCTGGTGATGTTTCGTCTAGCTTATGTTTCTGGCGTATTCCACAGTTTTCTAATCGACACTCACACGAAGAAATGTGGTGATGGACTCTCATTATTTTACGATATATATGTCATTATTTATTCTCCGGTTTGTATTCTTCAAGGTTTTTGGTCATTACTGAAAATCATCGTTGTGGTTTCACCACAAATAATTGGAAGCCAGAGTCGCACAAAGTCAAATTTATTAAATTTATATATTTTAAGTACTAAATTAGTTTGATAGATTGTTGTGACCATTGGTCCGTGCCAAAATAAAGTGTTTTTTCTTTCTTCTTCTTTATGTCATAAAAGGTATAAAAAATATTGATGCGATATTATTTGCAAATGCACAGAAATGTTTAATATTTACTTACCAAACGTAATCCTCGTATTGTAGGTGAAGAGGTCTAACAGAAGATTATTGATCACAACGGCGACGCACGCTGATGCTATATACACTGTCGACATATCAAACATTATGGTGGAATTTGGGTAGTGGTGTTGGAAGTAATCAACAGCCATTATGAAACTGGAAAAGAAAGAATAAATCATTACATACAAGTGTGACATAAATTAACTAAAACTATAATTAACATTTAAATACTTCTACTCTGTAAGCATTTCACATAGAATATTCAATTTCAGAACATAAATTATTAAATGGTTGTTTGTTTGAACAGGCATTTTAGTTTCTACAAGTAGCATTTTGTAATTTGAGGTACCTAATTATAACTAATTAAGATGGAAGACTGTCACACTTACCCATGAATGAAGCAAGTGTGACGGTATACTTCTTTTTGTAGTTACTTTAATAGCATCTGTGGTTTTCGACAAAATTGATGAGATTATACTCATGACAATATATTTATGATCTATATTAAAATAATATGAACGTCCATTTTTGCGTAACAATGGATTTTCCCCGCATGGGGCTAGCGTGACTGTTTTAACCGATATAGTGATGGGCTTATAAATGGATTTATGCCATTTATAAGCCCATCACTATATGGGCTTATAAATGGATGTTTTGGATGTGTAATAAAAACGTGTGACAACAACTAAGTGAAAAATAACTTTAATTCCGAAATGTTAACACTCAATAACCGTAATGCTTTGGTACTTGTATTATCTATACTATTTTAGTTGAACAAAAACATTATTAATAAATATATATTAAAAATATTACAAAACAAACACATCGTGGTTTTCTTCTATTTACAAAAGCCCAATTTTTTTCTACATTTTTCGTAACAAGATCTTGTTTCTTTGGCAATGAAAATTTTAGTTTTTTTTTGTCTAGGTACATAATGCTTGTAATACAATACTTTGTACCAATCGTTTTTTCAATATTCTCTGCTATCCCAACATAATACTGCTATTTTTTCTTCTCGTAATATCGAACTAAAATCATCAAATTATACTTGTATCTTCTTCTGTATCGGTTACGATAGGATTCATTATTTCTGCTTCCGACATCTCTTGACATTTTTTGACATGTATTTCTTCCTTGGTATTAATAGGTTTTTTTTTTAAAGTAAATACATACCAACACAGGGAAATAGCATCCTCCTTTTTTAAAGTCAGTTAACACAATAGACTGTCCCATCACTAGTTACGATATTCTCATAAGATGATCGGGGTAAGCGTGACACTGTCACACTTCGACATGTTAGGTATTAGGTGAGGTAAGTGTAACTGTATTCGTATTTCATGGAATAGTGTATTTCAGTTCACAGAAACATATTACACTATAAGTACTAATATTAGTCTTTATCACTCACCTTGTATCTTGTTTAAAAAAAATTTAAGTCATATTTTTTTTATAGGATCGGGTGACAAACGAGCACACGGCCCACCTGATGGTAAGTAGTTACTGTGACCCATAAATATCCACATCTATCCACAATAAAGACTCAAGATGCAGATGCGTTGTCACCCGTGAGGACTAAGATGGAATGCCTCTTTGCCAGTAAAAAGGGTCTCCGGTTCTCTACACTCACCATACGAAGCACAGCAGCGTTAAGCTGCTATTTTACGCTGGTTTTCTGTGAGAGCGTGGTCCTTCCCCGGTCGAGCCGACCCATTCGTGCTACAACCATAATATAGCTGCAGCATGGCTCTACCACGTAGAAAATCTTTAGCCTCCTAAAATCGCACTGTCTGTCGCCAGTTGAGTAGTGCTTAAAATATGACGTATGTTGATAAAATAGTTGAAGCTATGTAGTTAACTGTCGGTATAGTCAATAGTGTAAAAGTTCCTGCGTTGTTCAATAAATGGCACTTTACCCAAAAAACGTGTTTATGCCGCATAATTTGCATTTGTCACACTAGCTCCACAGTTACACTTGCTTCAGTCTACCTTACATATTAGTACTAGGCAGTAAATGTTTATACTAATTGAATAAACCAAGAGACCATTTTTTTACCAAAATCTTAGTGAGTACCTATGGGCAAATTTTTCGAGAAATACTTGCCAGCTGTCACACAGTGCTGCGGGTAAACAGCTGATAATGATGACAACATAAATAATGATTTATCCCTACTCAATTTCAATTTTCTGAGCACTTTAAACGAAATTGCAATATCGTCTTTAGAAACTTATTTCTATCCGCAATTAGCACGAGTGCTCGAACAAGATTCACAATACGACAGCGGTGTTTACTTACTGTCAGGTGAGCCACATGCTAGAGCATTTAGTAATTGGAATGTTTTCAATTCGAAACTAAGTTCTGATACTGGACCTAATTCCGGAATTCCAAAACTGATTCCAAAAAGAGTCTCGATTTCAAATTAGGAATTAAAGAGAATAATTTATATTAAGTTTAACAGTGTTTTTTAACATAATAGGATTAGCCAGAAGTCAGAAGAATGGGAAATACAATAATTGAAGACACAGAACACATATTTCGTTACATAGGAGAAAAACCTGGTCGATATGGAGTTGGATTCTTATTAAAGAGCTGATGTTGTGTGTGAGCGAGCTGACATTGATTGTTTTATTGGCGTCTAAAAACGAGTGTGTTTATAAAATCTCAAATTATACAACTTTTCTTTATTCTTTATACCATTATATTATATCGAAAGATGCAAATAAAGTAAAAATGTTAAAAATTTCTACATGCAATTAGACCATACAGTCAAATTTGCGAGAAAAATGCAATTGTGACGGGAGATTTTGATTTGAAAATAGGGAAAAAAACAAAAACTTCTAAAATGAGAGTCACAAGAAAGTTCAGTTATTGTGAAAGAAACCTCAGAGATCCTTTGACTATACTCTACAATATAATTTTACAATCATCAACACACTTCTTCAGGAAAACGCAAAGACTCGTTGAACCTAAACGATTATATTATTTCAAATATACCTTAACAATTCACAGATATAGAAGTGATCCAAAATCTTTATTATCATATCGACCATACACTAGTTAGGACTATTAAATTAAAAATATAAAACAAAGAAAGCAGCATAAAATACGAAAATAGGCCTTAGTATATAAGGAACAGAAAAGGAAATTGTCAAGTTTACGGAAAACATGAAAACAAGAGACTTTCCTTTATAATGCAAATATATGTATATGGTCTCTTTTTATAATATTCGCGCTGCCATCAGACGACATTAACTATTTATATTCCCACTCTTACTAAAAGCATTTGCATTTAAATACTTCAAAGTCAATGTCGAACTAAATGAATCATCCCAACGTGTTGGACTGCTTATGAATTTAATTAAGTTGAAAGTCTTGTTTAACGGTCATGTCATACTAGGTTCGATTATCGTTGAGGGTTAGATTCTTGAAGTTGTTCAAGAGTATACATATCTACCGTGACCAGATAGTGTAATTAGGTAAAAACAAATTCGAGAAAGAAGTCGATAGGCAGATTCAGTCGGGCTGGGCAGCATTCGGGAAGCATTGTGAGTTTTTTTTGTCTACTATACCGCCAACATGAAGACGAAAGTCTTCCACCAGTGTATCCTGTACTGTACTGTACTGTATGGTGTCAAAACGTGGACACTAACGGTACAACAACTCCATAAACTTAAAGTCTCCTAGAGAGTGATTGAAAGAATTGCTCGGCGTTTCTCTGGTGGATGAAATAGTAATTTTGATTGTGAAGATTAATAAAAACCAAAGTCACAAACATAACCTTTCGTATTTGCAAGCTCTCCTTTAGAGAGGCCTGTGTCCCACAGTGAACTGCCGCAGGCTGATGATGACGATAATGGTGAACATATCTTTCAACAAGTTTATCTAATATTTCATGTTATCAATGTATAAAATGTCTTTGACTTTACATATCAACTTTGTTTTTCACAATATGTCTATTATCATCAAATCATCATTACAGCCTATCAATATCCACTACTAAACATAGGCTTCCCCAATAGATTGCCTTATAGGGGGATAGTTGACACGCTTAGCAGTTGTGCTGGCAACAATTGCTTTGGCAGTTGGTTTTACATGGTAGAGCCATGCTGCAGCTACTATATAGTTGTAGCATGAATTGTCGACTCGACCGGGCAAGTATCACGCTCTCACATAATACGATCTTAAAAAGGCAAAAGAAGAGGCTTAAAAAGGCTTATTTTTGCTTTGTTTCTTATGGTGAGTGTAGAGAACTGAAGATCTTTTTTACTGGAAACGAGACATTCTATATTATTCCTCAGGGGTGACATTGTATCCGCATTTTCCTCCCTTAACGGGGACAGTTGTAGAAATCTATAGGTCACAGTATCCACTTACCATCAGGTGAACTGTGTGCTCGTTTGGCACACTTATTCTAAAAAAAAAAATTGCAAAAAGTATTAAAGAGAATTTATCTTTCATCAACATCTTTTATTTGCATAGCTATATAAAATATTACCTGTTAAAGGGCAACAAGAAAGCAGTTCCAGCTACAAATAAGGTGAAGTACACGGAGTTGTATCGGTCTGGTGGGGGACCACTCGGTTCTGGCATCGTCGCTAAAGGTTCTCCCCTCGCAGCCCTGATTGCGTCTATGCGGGCATACCCGCGACCTAATGTCTCATGCATTTTATTCCGCAGGCTTCGTTTTAATCACCAGCTTTCGCATACATTAGGCTGATGCATTTTTAATTAACTATTAGTTTTAAATCTGTTAGCCACTTTATCAACACCCGTTTTAATTGTCACTACTTCATTTCTTATTTAATTGCACATAGCAAGAGATAGCCAAAAACTGACAAAATGTTATGGAAATATCGTCACTAAAATACATTTTTCAATTCATAGTTTAAATTGTGTTTATTAATAAACTCAAAATAGTGATGTTTTATCGAATTTATTAGTGCGTAATTGCTGACATTAGATATCTTTATTCACAACACTAGAACTGCGTGTAATGTCGTATATTTTAAATAATCTTTATTGTTTTGTTTCCAGGAGAATTATGATAATAACTAGTTTATAAACAACAATCGCAGCCGGTTCTTCTTGACAGTAAATGGGAAAGTTATATCTCTGGTAATATGTTGACGCATGCGTGCCCGACATTGATTTTTAGTGATGTGTTCTTGGGAAAAAAAAACAATAAACTTTTACTTTTCTTTATACTATTTATTACAATGCTAAAATTAAGTTTATTTTAAACATAAAAAAGTATTACTTGTACTTTTGTTTTTAATCATTATTACTATTAAAACCTTCGTTCAAAAATAATATTAAACTCTTTTGCAGAAAGTGTGATACCGTCGACAGGCTCGGTAGAAGGTAAAGGGGCGCCATCCGGTAACTTCAGATGAAACTTCTGCAGAATGTGAGTCAAAAATAAAAATAGCTCTGATCGCGCCAGCCCTTCTCCAATACATCGTCTTCTTCCTTAAATAAATAATAAAAGTTTGAATAAAAAATATATCAACAACAATAGACCACCGTATTTATACTGGGATTAACTAGTCAAGGTGCTTACAACCCCACTCCTCAGCCAAACGAGTTCCCAGCTTGTCATGGTGGAAGGGGGAGATGGTTAGTAATCGTGGCTTGGTACTGGTACTTGATATATGGGGCATAGGTGGAACACCATGAAGTTTTAGTCGGCTCGAGTTCGACATAACTCGTTCTTGCTCCCACGAGACGAATATGCGTAGGCATATCTCCATCTAAAACTAAGACCTTACACAAATTTCCTAAGTAATATATAATGCATAAAGGTATACCCTTTATATATATATTATTTTATATTTATATATTTATTTTATAGCATTACAACTTTATATATTTATTTTATAGCAGTAATAAATTTTGCTTAAATAAAATGTAACTAACGCCCCGTTGCAGAGTACGGGTCTCTTTTAATTCTTGAGAGGTTAATGAAATAGAAGTCCACCACGCTACTCTAGTGAGAGCTGACGTATTTATATGCCTTCATAACATTTCTAAGCTTTCTTTCTATATTTTACTTCGCAAGCAAGCGCTCTATAAATCGTACTTAAATTTTTCAAACAAAGATTGTGAAGATTAGCTATGTAGTGGCTTAAGAAAATCCACCATCCTAAGTCATCCCTCGTGTGTCATAAAATAACTAAGAAAAATATGAGAAAATCTCTTGGCTTCCGTTAGATGGCGGTATCAGTAGTAGTGCTAGTATGTCAGATTTAAAATACCATCTAAATCAGCGAAACAGCGTCAAGGTTCGAAATATCTGGATACAAGACCCACACAATTTTTATATCTGTAATAGATATTAATTCATTATATTGGTTTAATTTAATGTTATATAACATTTCATTAGTGCCCGCAACGGCCACTGAACTGGTTTCTTGCGCTAAATATTATGTATACAATGTTAAATTTATTTAAAGCACCCTATAGCCTATACATTACAACGAGTTTATATTTAAATTATTTATATCGAATAATGTGAGATAATGCTTTCTACGCGCAGGCGCGTATAAAATAAAATATGTCGAATAAATTACACTTTCTTGCACAATACACAATTTTATTGCACAAATTATAAAAAAAGTGTGGGTCTTCTATTTTATTGGCAAATTAGGTGATAATATTTGAGACGTCTGGGGCTATGAATGAATACGTAGAAGAGCTAAACCTGTCAGCCCTATCTTCTAACATGTTTGCTCTTAACCAAGTTTTTACATGCCTTGCGTAAAAAATGATCTCTATAGCTTGTAGAAATTATTGCCAGAATTTTCAGCAGTCTTTTTTTATAGGATAAGGGTGACCAGCGAGCACACAGTCCAACTGATGGTAAGTGGTTGCTGTGGCCTATAGACATATACATTTATTCTCGATTGCGAATAAAATGCAGTTACATTATCAGCCGTGAGTACTAAGATGACATTTCTCTTTTCCAGTAAAAAGGGTATCCGGTTCTCTACACTAACCAAACGAAACACAGCAGCGTTAAGCTGCTATTTTACACTGGTATACTGTGACAGCGTGGTCCTACCCGGGTCGAGCCGACCCAATTGTGCTACAAATATACTATTAATATAGCTGTAGCATGGCTCAACCACGTATAATTTTTATATTTATATTTGGGTAGAGATCATCGTCGTAAACTTCGATTGTTGAAACCACAAACTTAGATTTTGTATCAGTATTTTCTTTGAGCTCCCGCTTCCACTTTATACTCTGTAATGGGAATGGCGGCAGGGACACTCAAGAAATGGGAATAACATTATGATACTTTCTTCCCATTAAGAAGATCTTTTTTATATTGGAGAGAGGGCAAACGAGCATGCGACTCACCTGATGGTAAGTGTCTACCGCCGCCCATAAACAACTGCAATACCAGGGGAATTGCAAATGCGTTGCCGTCGTTTTAAAAAGGAATAGGCTCTTTTCTGGAAGGTCCCTAAGTCGTATCGGTCCGGGAAAAGCGCTGGTGGTAAACAATTCCACAAGGAAGTTGTGCGAGGAAGAAAACATCTAAATCGCACAGTGGCGGCCCGCCAATCATCGAGATGCTACGGATGTTATCCCGAGTTTTGTCGCGATGTGCGATGGTGAAATTGAGCGGCTGGAATTAGTCCGAACAATTCCTCAGAGCACTCCCCGTGGTACATTCGAGAAAATACGCAAAGAGATGCAACATCTCTATGCAATGCCATTTTCTTCTATATATTCAGATTTTGGAATAAAAATGCCTATCTGAACAGGTTTTTCGTATCCGCAGAAAGTCGGTCCTGTAAGTTTGTATACGTGGTAGAGCCATGCGGCTATATTAGTAGTATAGTTGTAGCGCGAATGGGCCGGCTCGACCGGGGAAGGACCACGCTCTCACAGAATACGAGCGTAAAATAGCAGCTTAATGCTGCTGTGTTTCGTATGGTGAGTGTAGAGAACCGAAGACCCTTTTTACTGGAAAGGAGGCATTCCATCTTAGTCCTCACGGGTGACAACGCATTTGCATTTTGATTCGTAATCGAGGATAGATGTAGATGTCTATGGACCACAGCAACCACTTACCATCAGGTGGGCTGTGTGCTCGTTTGTCACCCTTATCCTATAAAAAAAAAAGTTAGTCATTACGCTATCTATCAGTGGAATATAAACAGTCCTCCGAAAATACTCCTCGTTATTTCCGTGATAATTATCGCGAAGAGTCTGACAGTTTTTAGAACATTTTGCAATTTGCAAAAAAGTTACTTGAGCTCTACTTAGCATCCACTTTACTTATCGCTAGTACTGGTAGCACTACTACTAATCCCAAGTACAGACAGAATTGCATTTCCATACGACCTCATCCTTCAAGAAGTCTTTAATTATTTAAAAATAGACCTTTAGTATGCAAAGTTTGTTCCAAATATTGGTGGGAATTTAATAAACATTTTTTATGGATTCAATTAGGACAATCTAAAAAAAATCCAAAAATTCAAAAATACCAAAGTCAATATTTCACCAACTTCTAAAAAAAGTCTTTTTGTTTTGTTTAACCTAACTTTATCAGGTAGCAAACTGCTGGAGATGGGACTCTGTCGTTGTTGCCTTAATTATTAAGCTTAGCATGCGTATTAACTTGATTAAGACGATCACATTGAGAAACTTCTCGCACCTTTGATGCGGCTCCCTCTTGCCAGTCTGGGTATTTTATGCCTGACGTAAGGAGACTTATAACATCATTTACCCGAAGTCATAAGATCTTTTTTTTTACATGGGGAAATGCCTACGCATACCCGCCTCGCGGGGTCAAGGACGGGTTATGTCGGACTAGCACCGATTAAAACCCCATGGTGTTCCACCCTCGTCGCATATTGGCAGGGCTACGGGAACGCTTTCGCACACATCTGCAGCCCCACCTGCGCTGGCCGCCCCATAGCGGCCTCTCCTCGAGAGAGGACTACTCCTCCTCCATCTCCTTCTCAGGTAAGGCGCACCAGAACACATGGCGCGCCCTCCTCCTCGGCCTCCAATTTCACATGCGCAACTGACGCCCCCGTGTCCGATGCGCGAAGGCCATGGGGCCAGGAAAAACTAGCACTCAGAAGCACCAGCCTTCCTGACCCCAGCGGCGGATCTGGTCTATGGCTCCGCCGCCAACCAAGATTTGGCTGCGGAGGGTAGGGAGAGCGGCGCCTCGCAATACCGACACTCCTCTCCCCCCGCAGCCCCATCACCACTGCATCAATTGACGGTGCGGCCCCGTCTGAGTCGCGGAGGATAGGGCGAGTAGCGCATCGCCATACCAACACTCCTCTTCCTCCGCGACTCCACCCCGGCTGCAGCGGTAGAGGGAGCGGACACCCCTCTCACTGCAGCCCACAGACACACATCCGAAGTGGCCTCGCCAAGCCCACTCGGAGTGGCCACCTCGGGCCGGCCCTACACCACGGGCCAGCCAAGGGGTTCCTCTTTGTTCACCGTGGGTGACCAAGCCACGGCTACTAAGCCCCCGCCACGACAAGGCGGGAACGCGTTCGGGGGGGAAGCCTTAAGATCTGCCTTAACCAAACTTAACCGAAAATTCTAAAATTATGCATAATATTTTTTAAATTTTATGTAAAGTTTGATTAATTTATTATTATAGCAAGGCCTACTTATATTTGCTATCATTCAAAAAATATAAAATGTTTGAAAATGTGCCACGGATAAAAAAATACGAATGTTACACTTTTACACGTTACACTGAAATGTGTGGAGCATCCTAGATCATACAATTTTGTTTGTCATACGCACAGAACAGAAAAAATATAAAAGGGCGATCATCATCCGTAGTATTCTTTGCTCTCAGATATGCGTTGGTACATATAAAGTACTTTGTGGTAGTTATGGCATAGGCGCGCTGTCACCAGGCGTAGGACAGTTGCCTTGAACCACAAAAATTTAATGGATGGTGGCGCCATCCATAACTTGTTTCCAAAAATAATTTGTTTATAGTTGGTCTTATGGCTTCACAGATGTCGCTACTTTGGAAAAATAAAATGAAATTTACTTACAAAATAAAAATAAGTGCACCAAAAAATTATTGGTGATTTTATTGATAAAAAATTATAATTTTAACATAAAAACACGTAATAATTATCGAATCAATCGATAAATATGACAATTATGATACTGGCAACCAGCATTTTATAATAAAAAATAAAAATAAAAAATGAAATAATTGTCATATTAAATTGTCATTCCTGTAACATCGCAAATACCCTTTTTATATATTATTATCTCACAAATACAAGTGTACTTATTGAAACTATTTACCTACTTTTAATATTAAAAGTATAAATTATTTTACAAAAAAAAAGTAAAAAATTCAGTAAGTATGCGAATTAAAGAACATAATAGTTAAATTAATATGATGTACATAATATAGCTATATATAGCGAATTAGTTCGGATTCAATTTGTAGAAGACGCTAGTAGTTCAATTTTGTCTGCAATAAAATATCGTCAGAGGGCTCTCTTTTCCTGTATATACTTATTATACTCTTTGGCTGTCACTGGCGCCGATTGTCGTCGTACCTTGACGTATTTGTTTATGTTTGTAGGACCTAGGACCTCACATATTTTCAGTGTAACTTGACGTCTGTGGAACGAATGTTCCCATACAAAACATTGTTCATTTATAATTTTATTCCCTTTTAATCTAAATGATTTTCATAACAGTAAAACCATCTTGAAAATAATGTTACAAAATAACTTTAAAAATTCATAGACAATTTAGCGTCGCAACTTAATAATAATGTTATTAACACAGTGTAGAAACGGAAGGGTACATAAATATTTATTTCTTATAATTCTCGCAATGACCCACAGAATGTATAAATAATAAGCCAAAAAAATTCGCTTGTCAAATCGCTTACGAAATGTACCTCAAGGTATAAACATTAATTATCAAGCCTGTCACCCAGAGGGGAAATCAGAGGCTACGAATTTCCGTTTGGCACAGTCCTGGCACACCGTTCCTGACAAGCGTTCCTTACCAACTCTGCTATTCACTCATGCGGCATAAATTTGCTTCACACTTTTATCATTCATTATATCTACTTGTCTCCCAAGACTTTAAGCTATGCTTGGATATCGGGGCTGACGGTTGACTGCGAGAGAATGGCAAAAGGCATTGATTCCAACTACTCTCATACTCTAATTTGTTGTTTGTTAAGTGTAAACAAATAAAAGAATAAATATTTCGTCGCCTCTTTTTGAATATTTTAACTATTTACTTTACAGCCCATCAAAAGTCCATTGCTGAACATAGCCCTCATAGAGGCGATATTTGCCATAGTTGCCACGCTTGACAAGTGGGTTGGCAATCGCAGTTCTTTCCAGTTTTTTGCTCTGTCGCCTCTTATGAAACCCATGTGATGATGAGGTAATAGTGGATATTCCCTCTCCGCCACAACAAGGTCAATTTTAATTATTTACAATTGAAAAAAACAAAAACGCTATCCGTCAAAAATTTACATACAAGGAATTTTATTAAGATATCGAAATAACGCTAAACTCATTGTAAAGCCAAAATGTCGAGGTGTTTTTAACTAGAGAACTTAGAAAGTATTCGGGTGTATAAAGAAATATTTCCTTACCTGTACCAAAAGGCATAAACCATTCAGTTTGAATTAAATTTCCCTCCTTAGTCAAAAAACGTTCGGGTTTAAATATTGTTGGATCTTTCCAATGTACGCCATTATGCAGATCGTAAAGAGCAAGCAGTAAAAATGTACCCTAAAATAGTTAATAATAACTGTTAAATTTTATTAAAAATTGTAAAGTACGTACTTTGAACAAGGATCTTCGTGAATATCGAGACAGACATAAAGCGAGTTAATAAAAAACATAAGCAAATTAAACGCGATAAATTCTGTTAAAAATAGTTTCATTCTAATAAAAAAATCATATTATAAACCCAAATAAAAGATGTCCTGAGTGACTGACTCATCTATCAACGCACAACTCAAAACACCACTTATTCATCACTAACTAACAAGGGATTTTTGGAAGATTCAAACTCTAAGAGGATGAAGTGAGTTGTTACAGTTTGTATTAAACTTTTTATTTTACGGAGAGATAGACTCTAATAGAGATATGCATTTTGCGATTTTTCAAAACAATCCCTTACGGAAAGCCAGAAGAAAAAATGTAAACACTCAAAAATAATAAAACATCCATTTTAAATTTTTCAAAACATTTTATACCTTCGGTAAACAAAACTAATTTTATACGCAGAGACCAAACTACTTACTCTACGGACGTAGAAGCGTGAAATTGGGACAATAGTATGCTTCAATCATGTGTGTGTTTACTAATAAAAGGATTTTTGAAAATTCATACCCTTAAATGGTGAAATAGTTACAGTTTGTACGACCCTTTTTATTTTACGGAAATTTCATATTTGTATGGAGAAATTTTTTTTTATTATTTTTGTAACTTAAAGCAATTACTATCTAACCATAATGCGTTAAGGCGAACAAATTATGCGTAAGAAAAAAAATGGGTTTTTAACTTGCACGGTGGTGCGGATATTACACAAAGTTATGATAATTATGGATAGTGCGTACTTTAGAATGTTACAAAATCTGCTCCTATTCACCACCTTAACAGGTGTATGGATAAAAAAAAAATACGTGTTTCTGTGTTTTTGGAAATTTTACACATCAAAGAGGGGAAATTTTGTATTTAGATTTTTGATTAAAAACTAAGAGACTCGTGTTTCAATATATTTAACATTTCTAGGGTAGAAATGTTAAAAATATTGAAACAAGGGAGTAAAATTAAGGATGATCATTATGTTAAGGTCTGCTATGTTTTAATTATATCATTGATAACGTTATTATATACTTTCCATTAGAAACTAAGTTACACGTGTTTAAGGATTTTTGGATACTTCACCCATAAGGGAGAAAAACAGGGGATGAAAGCTATTATAAAATTGTAAACTATTTTCATTCGGTTTTCAATCAATCATTATAATTATATACCCATACAAATTGCAACAAAAACAAAATGAAATAGAAAAGTAAAATAGGCAGTCATATCGTTCTGGAAGAAATATCTTCCAGAAAACTTTATTACGAAAAGAATTATGGTTTCATGTATTTATATTTATTATTTATATTTTTCATAGTTTCATTCAACACAAAGAATTGTTCACAAAGAATGGCTGGAAAGGGGGTGTACATAAATTTACAATGCAGTAAAAAAAAATACAACGACAAGAAAAGACGGAAATCATGATAGGAAATATTGGATTTTTTGAAGGAAAAAAGGTTACATCACGATGAATATGTTTGAAAAGAGTACAGCAGAGATTTATGGAATAAGAAGAATGAATGTACAAAGAAATAAAATAAAATAGGTGTGGTATGCGATTATAAATACACAGGTTCTCTGAAAAAGGGAGAAGCTTCTCATAACAGCCTTTAAAATATGGTAAATGAGGTTAGAAAACAGAATATCATAAGTTTATTTACCTTAGGTATCACATATTTGCCAAGTTTTGCATTATCTAGTGCCATGTGTGGTATTCCCATTGTGGCGACGCTCGAAATACGTAGAGCTTCTAATAATACTGCTTCAGTATAGATCAATCTAAAGAAAGAGACTTTTGCAGATAATTTTTACCGTTTTATGATATAATTAGTAAACATCGCCTTACTCTGACTTGGGAAACAATAAAAAATTATAATTATAAACATGTTTAATTATTTATAATCTGTACAAGCTTTACAAATAAAACAAATAGTTTGAATATTCAATAACCTTTTATTATAAAGTGTTAAAAATACTTCACTGAACAGTTAAAAGCTATTGGTCTTGAATTTGAAATTAAAACGTAAAATACAAAGGTATTTTACGTTTGAATATTGAATGACACTATTTATGTTTTAAACATAATTAATTAATAAAAATTAACAAAAAATGTGACGTTTTTTCTGATCTTTTCTCATATTATTATTGTTCTAATTTTATTAAGCGAAAAGCAGTCTCAAATAAATTAATTAATAAGTTAATTAATAATCAGAAGACAGGTCCCTCCTTGATGGGACGAATTTATCGATATTGCCATGCTCGACTGGTGTTAATTAAGTAGCCTAATAAAATGCCTGCCGCAAAGGAGCGGAAACATACGGTGTTTCCGCTCTCCAGGCTAATTTCTATGTTATATTTTTTGACACGCGCAAATATTTATTTTTAATTTTGAAAAAGGCGCACACATTTTTTTTTGTGTACAACCTTACGTTCGTTTCAGCTCTCGGCGTATAGTGAACTTGATGGTAAGTGTACCCTGTGGCCGATAGATATCTACATATATCCTATAAAATAAAAATCAAAATGCAGATGCGTTGTCACCTCTTTGGAATAAGCTGAAATATCCTTCCCTGATCTGTTCATTACACGTTGGGGACTAGACCATTTCGAGAGAACCTGTTACATCTTAAAGTCAAGTTCTAGCGTTACACACGCCCACAGTAATCTCAATCTCACCAATTCGTGAGTAACTGGTGTAAGTGTACGTGGGGTACACTGAAAGTTTTTCGTTACTCATGAATAAAACAATTTATATGTACACTAATATAGTTACTGCTTTTCAAAGTATTCTCTATTACATTTCAAAAGCACTTTTTATATGTTCAAACCATTTTTGAAAACATATGAGAGCGCTAAGCTCGAAGTAGTTGACGAATATGTTTACCTGGGACAAATAGTCCGACCAGGTAAGTCCAACTTCGACCGAGAGATCAATCGACGGATTCAAATCGGCTGGCCAGCGTTCAGGAAATTACGACACATCTTCTCGTCAGGCATACCTCAAAACTAGATTGTACGACCAGAGCGTGTTGCCAGTGATGACACGGATCGGAGACGTGATCCTTCACTGCTGGCCGTCTGAGGAAGCTCAAAGTTGCTCAGCGAGCTATGGAGAGAGCTATGTTCGGCATTTCTCTGCGTGATATAGTTAAAAACGGGGATATTCCCAGTAGAACCAGAGTAACCGACATAGCTCAAACGATCAATAAGCTGAAGTGACAATAGGTCGGCCATATAGCTCGAAGAACCGACAATCGATGGGGAAGAAAGGTTCTCAAATAGCAGCCTCGTACCGGCAGGCGAACTGTAGGGCGTCCCCCACTAGATGAAGTGACGACCGGGTAGGACATGCAGGAAATCGATGGATGCAGGTGGCTCAGGACCGTGTTTCGTGGCATTCCTTGGGGGAGGCCTATGTTCAGCAGTGGACTTGTGAAGGGCTGTAAGTATGATAATGGGCCATTAGTCTGAGGGTATGTTTTTCACATGCTAGTTGAAAGTTAACATGGCCTCTTTTGGATGGAAGTCATGGATTTCATTGGATTGCAATAGGATGCGAATTCTTGGTCGTTTTTTTCACAGACACTGGACAAACTAAATGGTGGCGTACCGCTCATTAATTTGTTTTGCTCATCAAATGGTAACTTGTAGACAGGACCCGTCTGGGAGAAAAAACCGCAATCATTTTTTTTGCCCACGCTTCTTTCATGGTTTGACGTCGATAATCATACTTTAACAACTTTTTTTTACATGATAGGTGTTTTTTTTTTTACTTGAGCTCTTTTTTGTTCCGAGGTGAGTTCATGAGGAAATTAGCGGCAACACAGTGTTGAATACTTAATGTTGATATAAAATGTTATTGATACCCAAATATCCTCGAATTTGTCACCTCACAGTAGGCACATTTTCCCCAGTGATCGCAGTTGAGGGTCGATTTTTAGGAATTTCATGAAGAGAAACACGGCCACGTCCTTTCTGCATTTCAACTTACGGTTAAGGTGCTTCCTTTCCAAAAGCATTTTTAAGACGAGCAGTGTAATCTTGCGGAGAGAGCGAGCTTTTAAACATAAATTAATATCATCGCCCTAAAATATTTTCGCGTTGATTCCTTTTTTGCTGCAGAACTTGTGATAAAAAAATAATAGACTCGCGACTTCTCGCTACAAATTATTTTAATCAATAAATGAGATCTTAGGTTTTAAAACATATAACATTCAGAATTCAAACATTTATGAATGGCCAGGAGCGCAGAATTTTCAATATACCCTAGGTACTAGTATTTAAGATTTTGTCAGAATTAAAAAAATAAAAATGAATGTAAATCCATGATATCTCGTTTTGTAAGCGTTACTTATATAAAATATCAGGGAGTGAATTGGGACGGTAAAAGAAACATTACCAGGACCTAAACTAGAACTCTACTAGACTTCTTTACGTGGTAGAGCCAAGTGGCAGCTATATTAGTAGTATAGTTGTAACACGAATGGCTTGGCTCGACCGAGTAAGGACCACGCTCTCACAGAATACCAGCGTAAAATAGCAGCGAACGCGGCTGTGTTTCATATGGTGAGTATAGAGAACCGGAAACCCTTTTTACTGGAAACGAGGCATTCCATCTTAGCCCTCACGGGTGACATCGCATCTGCATTTTGATTCGTAATTAAAGATAGATAATTCTTTATAACTGTAATTAAATGGTAGCAGTATTTCTATTAATTGTGATGATTTTTCATTAACAAATACATATATACACATAAAAATGATTTAAAGCACTGTAGGTACTTTTCGGCCACAGTTCATTTATTTTCCCTTTCATATTACGGCAATCGAAAGCGTTATGTTCTATACAAACATGGCATTTTCAATTGAACATTTTGCTTTGAAAACACTGTTTAAACGGCTGAACGGATTCTAATGAAATTTAAAAGTGTAATAGGACATGGGACGAACTGTATATCAATTATGACCAGAGATTAATTTAAGTAAAGTTTGAAACTCACGTCTTTGCTCAAAACTTGTATTACAGACTGATACCGAGGCAAGAATTCAATGGAGTGTAACTAACGAAATTTTCCTTGATCACCCTTTGAGAGCAAATTGGTAACAATGAATTCTTTTATGTCGCCATCACAAGATGAAACTTTTTTAAAATCTGTAATTATTCGTTAATCATACCTAGTTCCAATTTTGTGTATAAGAAGATTGTTTGTACGATTCGGTATTTATGACATTTCTGTTTTTAATAAAATTCATGAAGAATATAATGTAATATTTAGAGCAATTATTTTCTTTGGTTGCTATCGAACCTTCTTCAATCTTATTCCTTTTTTTTTTAGAAAATAAATATATGAGGTTGGCAGAAAGAATGTCACTATAGTAAATCAAATCATCAAAAATCGCAAATCACCAAAGACATTTAAGTAGTAGTATACCTATATCAAAGAGATTTAAAATCTACTACTACTTAAATGTCTTTGACCTATACATTTAAATCTCTTTGCAAATCACTTATCTTTTGGGACTTCAATCGATACCTTGTTCTATCGCTAAGCTTCGGAGGTCGTGAATGACCGATCTCTCTATCAATTTCCAACTGCACACGAGTTTGTACTTCTTGCTCTCTCACCACATGCAGTAATAAAAAGACAGCAGTGTTGCTGACTGTCTCAACGCCTGCTTCTAACAAATCGAGGCATACCACTTGCAGTTCTTCGTCGGTTACTGTAACAGTGTTAAATATATAAATTAGAACATAATCGACGTCCTCAACACCTTGCTAAAATTTATTACTTTACGCTATTCTATATAATTAATTTAATAATTGTGCATTTTTTAATCAGGTTTGAAGCTTGATACGGCAGTGTCTCGGCCAAGTTCGAAAAAGAAAAAAGCGCCACCTGGCAGTGTGTATATATAACCCAAAAACTATTATGTCTAATTTTGACAAAGTTATAGGTGCGGTAAGTTTCAAGTACAGTAAAAGTGTGTCGATGTCTTGAAAACTATGTTGACTTTTAACTCAAAAACAGAAAACAGTGAAGCGTAGCCCAAGAAAAAACACTGACGGCATAGATTTTTTTACATGAATAAAATGATAAAACTTTTCGAAAGTTAATGATATCCCACAAAAAACTTGAAGAATTTTGCACTTTTTTTACTTATTATAAGCCAGTGCTTGACTAAAATCCCACTTGGTGGTAAGTGATGATAAAGCCCTAAGCTGTCTTAGCGTAACACAAGTCAAGCCACCCTTGACGACGCCCGTTTTGTAATTGGACAGAACGACAAATGCCGGCAGATTATTCCGCTCCTTTGCTGTAAGTTCTTATGGTTTAAGCAACTGCTTTGTAGCTTGTCACCCGTTCAGATTTTAATTCTTCTGAAGCTGACAAACACGAACGTCGTTTGTAGCAATCCTCTTTTCAAAGGTATGTTTTTGATCAGATAGTTATTACGTAAAGGTAATGTCTATAAATTGAATTCAAAATACCACTGCATCATTAAATAAAATATCATTGCATCATTTAGTACATTTATAGAGAGAAAAAATGTTAAAATTAAAAGAAGGACATTTATGATTCTAAAATATAATCAAAGTATTTTTGGAACGAAGTTCCTTATCGCACGGTACGAATTTGGCGGATGAGAAAAAGTGTAATACTTTTCCGTCACGACCCCCTTTCTATAGAGCGAGCGAGATGGAATAATATCCATCTCCTCGCACTTTTTCATAACTTGCCATGAAAGAAATATTATTTTAAATGACGCTTCGTTTTAATAGATGCTAGTAATTAATTCATTTGCATTTGTTAATCAATAATATAATACGTTTATCAATAATAATATACTACGAAAGGAACTCCGTTTTAAGCGAATGTTCCACGACACTCCCGCATGTTTTTTTATTTTATTTTACGTAAAATTAAAGTCTAATTTCGTAGTAAAGCTATAAACTTATAAGTTTTTGATAACAGCAAAAAGTCGTGACTTTATCTAAAATGTTATATTTGAATATTATCTGTAGTGAATGTTAACGATCTGTATTTTTATCACCTTAGATACCTCGATAGGTATTAAACTATGTTTTAGACTTCTTTTTGACGTTATTATTCAAATGCACAAAATCAGCGCAAAGAAAAATAAAGATAAGATATACAAGTATTAATACAGGTTGTAGTCATCACTAAGTGGACATGATACATAAATTAAGACAGTGGAACTCACTACCAATTTAAAACCAACTGTTTTAATACATCATATAATCATAAAGTGAGTTAATTCATTTATGGAATAAAACCATGAAATAATATAAAATTAGATTCGGGATTTTGAACGTAATATTGGGGCAAGATATTATCTATGCATGTATGTAAATGTTACGGTGACCGTGTAGTGGCGGTGTAAGAATATCCACTACCCTATATCGTCCCGTGCGTTTCGTAAGAGGCGACAGAGGGAAACTAAAACAGGAGGGGGGGGGGGAGGGAGCAGCAGCAGTTTCCTGATAACTAGAGATGTTATGGAGGTTCGATTCCGATTCCGAAAGGTCGGAACTTCCGATTGATTTTGAACCTCCGATTCCGATAAATTTTAATCGGAAGTTATATATCGGAGGTCGAAGAACAGTGGTGGCGGCGGCTGCGATCAGCGTGTACAAACAATTTTATACTTGTCGCCCCTGGAACCTCCCACCCCCGCGCTTTCGGTCGGTTACTCTTTAACTTGATGTTTTTTTTCGTATTTTGGCAATTGGCATGTTGTGCGTTCGCGCTTCATTTATACCTATGCGATTTTTTGATATTTGAATCGGACAATGAAGCCAAAATCAAGTACCATTTGGAATTATTTCAATGAAGTTTCAGAGAATGTGTGTTATCTATGTGAGAAGATATACTTACGAAAGGGAGGTACGACTACTTCGTTAAAAAGTAATTTAAAGTCTGTGCATACCACTGAATGCGACGAATTCAAAAAAAATTGAAACTGAAAAGAAAAATAAAATTAACACATTTCTTCTGCCTCCACCTCCGATTCCGGTTCCGATTTCGGTTCCGGTTCCGACAAACAAAATTTAAAAACTCCGCTTCCGAATTCGGTTCCGATATAACCACTTCCGTAACATCCCTACTGATAACAGCTCAAAATTATAAAATTTGTGGTTGCTAACTCGCCTGCCAAGCGTGGCAACTATGGCAAAATCCCCTATGATTCAATTTATCGGGGAGACCTATGTTCAGCAGTGGACTTTTGAGGGCTGTAATGATGATGATGAAATGTTATGGTAAACACAGAGGCTCTCAAAAAAGCTAATTATTACATACGGGTTTTATCCTTCTGATTGTTCATTTCCATAAGAAGAGCGTCGATGACATCTTTTGGATTGTGAACATCAAGGGCCATTCGATGCTCTTCTATAGTTTCCTGAAATTAAACATTAATGAAACTAACTTCTTAATCTTGAAGCAATTTAGTTTATCTATATAAGATATTACAGAAGTTGTTGAAAAACTCTGCCAGATTACTATTTTTCTATGAGTGACTAGATGTAATGAAAAATACAGCGAGAGTTTTAGGAACAGCGTGATAAGTGTGATAACAATGCTCCTCCAAACAGTAAGTGAAGTACAATAAATAATTTAAGTTTTAACTTTTTGAATAAACTAGTAAACAGATCTAGTATTTATGTACGTTGGTATATATTATACGTAAACCGCATACAAAACATAAGTGTAATTATATATATATTTATTGTTGAACATTGAAGCATTCATTTTTTCTATGAAATTGCTGTTTTTCTGAACTTGTCACTTTGAGCTGTAATATTTATTGTTTGCTTATATATTTATACGTCAGGCATGTCCCTATTACTTCTATTTTTAAAAAGTTATTCTTTTGTTTATTTTAGATTTGCTTTTCCTGCAATATCACTATATTTATGACTATAGACACTAAGAAATTTTGTTTATTATTTGAGTTCCAACGTGAAAACAATGCGTCTTTAGCGGCACAATCAATGACGCATATGGACCTAGCACTAATATGCGAACTGTATGTTATTGGTTCAATCGCTGCCGTTCGCGTAATTTGACCTCATAAAAGAATCTCGTGGCTGTCCAAAGAAGAATAGAATAGAATAGAAACGTTTTAATCTATTTTCAATATAGATTATAAATAATACTTCTTTAAATCTCTCTTATGTTTACTTTACCACTGGTTCGAACAATACCTCTGTCCTGGAAAAAACCAGCAAGAAACCCAGCGGGACTTTTATTTTGAAAAATAGAACAGTTTATGTACAATCATTTAATATGTTACACAATAATTAACAACACAAAACAAATTAGAAACAGCTTGACTCGTTGCCACTCATTTCATCCCCAGGGGTTATCATCTATAAATAGCTTAATATATCCATAACACACAACCCCTTTTTATACAATCTTTGTTTAATAAAGCTTTTGAAATAAGCGAAAATGAGATTTATTATATTTTATGAGATTTTGTTGTAAAAGCGTATTAAAAAATTTTTTTCCGCGGTATAGCCATGCTGCAGCTATATTAGTAGTATAGTTGTAGCAAGAATGGGTCGGCTCGACCGGGGAAGGACCACGCTCTCACAGAATACCAGCGTAAAATAGCAACTTAACACTGCTGTGTTTCGTATGGTGAGTGTAGAGAACCGGAGACCCTTTTTACTGTAAACTAGGCATTCCATCTTAGTCCTCACGGGTGACAACGCATCTGCATTTTGATTCTTTATTGAGGATAGATGTGGATGTCTATGGGTCACAGCAACCACTCACCATCAGGTGGACTGTGTGCTCGTTTGTCACCCTATCCTATAAAAAATAAAACAATTCCCTCCAAGAATGAATTACTGACTTGTCATATATTGCTCTGAGGGCCCTCTTCTGCAAATCAAATATAATTTCAGTGTGAGTCTCGTGTCCCCATAGCAAAATACAATACGACATTGTGCTATGGAAATAGATGAAATAAACTAGTCTAGCTGTTTCAAGGTTTCACCTTTTTTACAGCATATGCTGCAGGACTAAGTTTGCTTACTAGTTTTGATATATGAGGGCCCCATTGAAACTTCGTTATAGTTTCCTGATTAATGTTTGAATAAGTCTCAGCTATACCCAAAAAATCGTAAATTCTCCCATACTTTGAAAATATGTTTAATCAGCTCAACACCAGCATCAGTTGTCGAACGACCCTTTGTGAAACCGAATATATTTTTATGAAGTAAATTATTTACATTTGATCAAGAAAAACATTTTACTAAGTGTTGGCAGTACAGAAATAGGGTGTAAAATCGGCAGGGTCAAATGTTCTACCAGATTTGAAAAGTATTTATTACTTTACTATGTTTCATTAAATCAAGAAACACGCCAGATTCGATACTACATAGTATTAAAAATAATAGTCAAATGAGGTACCATTGTATCTATTATAAATGCTATTACTTTAATGAAAATCCCTCAAGTATTAATTCGTATTGCATAGCCGATTACTATGTAAGCACATGACTCTAAATTAATCTATAAAACGAACGAAACGAACACTGAACTTTCGTTTGACAATTATATTGAATTTATTTACTTTTAACGTAGGTTACCTTATCATTTGGAATGCCTTATATACTTTAAGAGCAATAATTTTAAATCATTATCATCATCATCATTACAACCCTTCACAATTTTAAATACGAATTTATTTAAAATGAAATGAAAAATTACAAACTATTTTTTAACCGCGTCGCCAAAAATCTCCCCCCTGTGAGTCAGCACCGTCATTTGGGAAGCGTCGCGAGTACCAGAACTACTAGTCTGGACGTAGGTCTCTTTTTTTAATAGAAGAGGGTGGGTGGGAGTTCAAGCGAGCATGCGACTCACCTGATGGTAAGTGACTACCGCCGCCCATGAACAACCGCAACACCAGGGGTATCGCAGATGCGTTGCCGGACTCTTAGAAAGGTGTAATCCCATTTCTTGAAAGTCCCTAAGTCGTATCAGTCCGGAACAATCCCCGGTGGTAAACAATTCCACAGAGATGTTGTAAGAGGAAGAAAATCCCTAGTAAAGCGTACAGTCGTGGACCGCCAAACATCCAGATGGTGAGGATGGTATCGTGAATTGATGTGAGTTCGTGAAGTTTGACGGCTGGAATTAATCCGAACCATTCCTCAGAGCACTCCCCGTGGTAGATTAAATAATTAAAATTTAATGAAGACTTAAAATTGGAAATCAAACACCCCGTGTGTACGCGCGCCATAAGCAGCCGCATGCTGCAGACGAGCCGTGCAAACAACATGTACGGGGAACGAACGGCAAGTGACATTAACCGCTGATTACTAAGATACAGACTAGTCTAGTTTAGGAGTCAGAGACTTCATAAAATTTCTTGTGATTTATTTTTGATAATAAAGAATTATTATTATTATTATTACATTGTTCCACGAGTTATGAACAACCTACCCCCAGAATTCCGCGATAACTTTAATATAAAAAACATAAAAAAAACTTAAAATGTACTTTTTGGGTAATTTTTAAAAAAAAAATATTACTACTTAAAACAGCGTATGTGCGTTTGTTCAGGTCCTAATTAGGCTGTAATGTTTTCTTTTTACAAACTAAATTAATTATACTTTAATATAACGTCGACTCAGGTCGCGTCATCACAAACCTTAGTGATTTTCCGTATGCGACTTTTTAGGATAGTTTTTTTTGTAATGCTTCGTAGGTGGTAAATAAATAAAAAAAAGATGCGATAGAAAATGGAAAGAGATGCAACATCCCTACGCAGTGCCAGTGAATCGAGCCGATCAGTAAAAACACGGTCGTCGACGATTCGAACCGCTCTGCGCTGGATGCGGTCAAGTGGAAGGAGCTGGCACTGGGGTGTCCCGGCCCAGAGATAAGAACAGTATTCCATGTAAGCAATCCATGTTGCAAGCGATGTGCCGGCATGAAATACAGTCTCGCTCTGCTGAGCACGCCAAGCTTTTTAGGGGCCATTTTGGCCTTCCCTTCCACGTGACCACAAAACTGCACACTATTCGATATGTCGACGCCGAAGATTCCGATGCTAGCTGAGACAGCAAGGGGAGTGCCTTAAAACTGAGGAGATACGACAAAGGGGTTCTTTTTAGCGGTAAACGCGCAAACTTGTGTCTTCTGGGGATTGAACTGGACTAGATTTAGTCGCCCCCTATACTGAACTGTATCCTCAAGACACCTGTGTTAGTAATGACGTCAACCACCCTAGTACGTCAGTCTTTTTCTGATAACTTCCTGTGGATCTTGCCTCGTGGTAATAGAGACAATATCGCCCACTTTTCGTTCTATGAACTTTCCATTGTCACCCGTTTGAGGTATCATGTACTCCTTCAACCATCTTGTTCAAAAAGGGTTGCCTCTTTCCTCTGAGCGGTTTTCCAGCTGAGTTGACCTGTCAGGTGTTCATAAATACCCCAGGTGGATGATGTCCATATGAGCGCCCGAGAAAAAAAAATACTGGGTGTCAAACCCTCTGCAGGACTATCCATACTAATGACTAAAGGTCTGGAATTTACGGTGTGCTCTGCTTCCAAGAGTAACGTATGCAGAATTTCTTCTCGTGGACTTCTTTTTTTGTGGGTTGCAGTCAATGTAGTCTTAACCGATCTTATCAATCTTTCCCTAGCACTCCCCCCCCCATATGTGGTGCTCCGGGCGGTAAGAATTTGCAATTAATGTATTTCTTACAGGACTCATTTTTCATGCTATTATAGCACTCTTCAGATGCTTGAGTTAATTCCTTATTCGCAGCCTTGAAATTCGTTCCGTTATCACTATATATAACGGCTGGTTTTCGTCTTCTAGCGATAAATCGCCTTATGTCAATGATGCTGCTAACTCCAGATGTACTGCTCTGGTGGTCAGACACGTGAATAAAACACCCAAGCGTTTTTCATGTCGCCTTCCTATAGACACACTCATAGGTCAGAAATAATCTACTGTTACAAAATAATGTACGTGAAGGGTGGCTCATGATGAGCTATTCTTTCCAATGGAAGGTTTCCTTGTGGTAGTATGTGCGGCTTTGATTTGTATGTCTTGCACCACTGACAGTTGTGTGATACACTACGAACTATATTACGTAAGTTCAATACATAAAACTTCTGGTTCACCTCATTCATCACCGTTTGGTGATTGGCATGTCCGAAATGATGATTCACTTCTCTAATCATCATTTTAACGATTTCACGTTTACCGTCTAAAACGACGGTTTTCTACTTTCCTCTTAAGAGGTAAACGTCCGTTCAAACGAAGGAGGTTATCTTGTTCTAGTTCTAAAGCTAATTTGCATAAGCGTGAACTTCTTTCAGTTTATTTTCGAGTGGATACACTCGTCTTGAACGAACTTCCAGATTAATT